TAATTGTGCTAACAAATAACATATATACCGCAAAGCCATAGGCATACAGTTTCAAAAGTACTCAGATTTGCGAATCAGAAATTCATAAAATGTAGAATGAACATTACTGCTCGGTAATTAACGTTTCGTTTGCCTACTGATAAACATTTGTTACATACGAAGCGTGCCAAAGGTATTCAGACATGAACGCGCAAGTTGACTTTAATATATTCAGTGATTAATAAATAGAAGAGATGCACATTGAATGTTGAAGAAATAGACACAGGAAGATGTAACTCAAATAACGTGAGTTATTTCCATCTAGCGTATATAGATTTCACGGCCATATAAGGCCCCGTGAACCAATACGCGCACAACAATTTATTGCACATAGTGTAATTAGTTGGTTTACTTTGAAATAAAGTTTAAGCCAAGACCATTACTTGTCGACTAATGGCCTACGTATTAATAGATTCTAATTACGTTATTTGGACGACTAGAGAAACCGTGTGCTCCCCCTTTTAACTGACTTCAAAAAAAGAAGGAGGTTCTTAATTTGACCCGTGTATATGTATGCATTGGTGTGGGCATGTACGCATGTAGGTGCGTTCACGCTTAACATCGTAATGCGTGGACCGATTTGGACCATTCTTTTTTTGTTTGAAAGAGGGTTCTTCTCCGGTAGTCTCCTGTAAATTTCGTCAGAATCTGATTATAGAATTCGAAGGCGGACGATTTTACAGTACTTGCTGTAAGATTAAAAAGATATTGTTTTGTATTTATTAAGTATTTAAAACATATTTAGTGTGATATGTGGTATTATATTAACTTCTAAAGGCAACTCTTCCCTCCCCTCCTTTCTCTTACTCCCTCACTGACCCTTTTTTCAAACTAAAGCGATATTTAATTTCATTTACAATAACATATTGAATGTAATATTAGCTATAAAAGAAGGTAAAATTTACAGCACAAATAAATGAAATTTTAAAAAAATGGGGACAACATAGTATTTAAGTGTGGTTACTTAAATTGGATCCGCTAAAGCGTTTGCTTTAAAACAGTGACAGGATGATGACAAAATGACAGTAACATCTCGCACGCGGTGATGTGACATGACTGCACAAGTTTTGCAGCTGCTGAGGACTTGGAAGCAAATAGGGCCATTCAATAGTTTATTGACTTTAAATTGTCACTGAAAAATGTGACAATTCGTCCAGGTCGGTCTGTTTTTGATATCTCAGATCATTTCTCGAAAGATATGTTGCAACTTTACAGATGTTATTTCGTAAAAGCTCCGCGAGAATACTGTCTTGACAGTGTTCTACTTAGTGCTACTGATTTCGCAATGACAACATTACCGAATGATCGCACTAAAAGCGGTAGATCAAAGGACCCAAAAATACATCAGACGACAAAAAAGCTCGAGCTAAACGACCCTGAACACACCCGACACAGAAAGTACAAACCCCCTGTTTTTCATCACAAAATGTCGAATTCGAAGTCATAGTTATAAAGTCAGTCAGCGGAGGAAATTTTATAGCGATTCTAAAAGTCTTACTCTAAACAGCGTAGTGTTACGGTGATGAAATGTTAGGGAGAATCGGGGTTAATTGTATTTAGTAACGACCATTAGTACCTACCATACCGTTTCGTTTCCTACAACATTATTATACCATGCTTATACTGTACAATTTGTCCAATTTTCAATTATCCAATTTCGAAATACTAAGATACACCTCGAACCATTTGTAACGCTATACTGACGAGTCAAGTTTGTGAATAGTAGTGCTATTAATATTCATCAAAATAATTTAAAGAGGATTATAAATCCATCGGAAAGCGCTTTTATGGGAGCCCCACTTGTACCTACACAATTACTTACTGACTCTTCCCTACGCGAGTGGATTTAATAAATTTGATCTTTTCTGAGAACTTTTATAGCCTTTATGTAATAAAGTTCAATGAACGTTGATTTCGAAGAAATGTTAACCAATGTTGGCAATTTTCAAATCTTAAAACAAGCTTGAGGAATGTGAGAGACCTGAATCACTAGAACCAAACAAGTGTTCCTACATTATATACAGATCAAATCTCACCCTTCGCTTCCCTACTTCATTACATAACTATACGGTAATGTCCTTTGGCAGTCTTAAAATACTCGCCCAAGAAATAGCGTAGCAGAAGACTCAAAATAGCTGTGAGTGCGTCACAATTCGCCACGACGTCCAAGAAATGGCGTCGCTCCGTATCCTTAGCACCGCCATCTTGTGCAGTTATGATCAATCATGTTTTCTGATATATTCTGTACAAGTGTGCTAATTTAAATACTTTGTAACTCGAATTACTCTATTTTTCTTAATAACGAATTATACGAATTCGAGAAGGCCCCTTTTATAAATGGTGCGTTGCAAACCACTTACACGTGTCTCTATTTCGTGTTATGTTAACACGTTTGTGTAAACTAAACTTCGAGGGGGTATTCACCCAAGAAATCATGGATTTTAACATGCGAAATCATGTGGAAATTAGCTGTAAATCGTCTCTGTCTCCCACTATGTTAACACGTTTGTGTAAACTAAACTTCAAGGGGGTATTTGCTCAGGAAATCATGGATTTTAACACTCGAAATTATGAGGAAATCAGCTGTAAATCGCAAGCAGAAATCATTAGATATCGGTAGAAATCACCAAAACATTGTCACAATTTTATATGCTTCCTCCGTGAATCATACATTTTTGTTACTCCCTAACAGTCGAAAATCGCAATTATAGTTCTCGAATTGTAAACTCTTTCATTTCTTTCTTTAATAATTATTTCTAACTTTATGGATCTTGAGGAAAAAGAATTTCATTTGTCCAGATTGAAATATACATTCATAATCAATCGTTTATACAGTCGTCTGGTGTGCAATAATTTCGAAAAACGTGTAGGTCTATTTTTTTTATTTGCAATAATGAATGAAACGATCCATTTTAAGAAATATGTGCAACGCGACATTCAAAAGGAGCCGGCCATGTTCTTCATTGGTTATGACGCCGAGCCAATGGCGTTGCTCCACATGTTTACAGTCTCACCTGTCGCATACCTTTGATCATTCGTTGTCCTCACTATTACCGACCGCGTGAAATAAATTAACGGAGTTCGTAGAGTTGTTGTTTTATACCCTCGCGCAGATTCGAAAAATTCTTTCCAAGTGACGTGTTCAACATTTTCTTAAAATAACAAAATTGATGTAAGAATTGTTAAACCTCGGGGGAAGATACCACCTAAGCAACATTTGGTTCAGCAAACTGGTATACGTGCTTATATTGCGTAACTGATCGGATTTATAGGAGCAACCATATTACGGATGGATAATGTAAATGTACTTTAAAAGATATTAAACATTTTTAAGTAACTAGTTGCAGCACTCATTAAAGTTATAATATATTTGACAAAATTCGCCATTTGAGTAATTTCCCGTGTCGGAATCAAAATTTCCCGCCAGTAGTTCCGTTGGCTGCCACTTTCAGCCAATAGCGTTGCTCCACATGCTCCTCATTTCAGTCATCGGATGTTACTTTGACCAATCGTTTTCTCTGCCATAATTAACTAGCGGGAATATCCCAACGAAATGCAAAGAATATTATCCCCGATTTTTTCGAGGCAGCACGGTGATATTTCCCAGAGTGATTTTCTCTTTGAATGGTCTCGAAATAGGATAAATTGTTGGCAAGGCGGTGATGCCTAAGTTCGAAGATGGCGCTGGAGTGTCAACGCGTTCCGGAGGGCGGCGCACGTGCGCTATGATTCGCAGTTCATCAGTGCGTCGACTTGTGTGTCAGTTTCACGAGAGCGGAGGTTTGGTTAGTGTTTCGGGATTGCAGTCGCCGCGTGAACGATGACGTGCGTATTGGTTTTTCGCATACGCGCTTTGTGATAAGTCGCATTAAATTGTACGAAGTGGCCGCGATATCGCGCGCACGATCTCGACTCGATTGGCGCGGTGCCTCCGAAACCTAACCTAGCTACGTTAGCTTGGTTGCTCTCTGCTCGCGCTCGCGATTCCTTGCCTCCGACACTTCGCCCAATTCTCTCGCGCGATCGCACGACGGTGAGTTTCGTGATTTCTGATACTCGATCGTGCTCAGAGGATTTTTCCCGAGAGGATATTTGAGGTTATAGAATGGCGCCTCCTGGGGGTGGCCTGGGTGCGGGTGTGCGCGGGGACCATGAGCTCGTTGGCTGCTAGTGATTGAACTTTTCCTTATTTACGCTTTAGTATGAGAAAATTGAAATTGGTTGAAAAGTACGGGTATGGAGTCAGCAAGATCTCAGGGTGCTCTTGGAGGCAAGGATAGTTACTTTGAATATTCTGGGCAAAACCACGTACTCGTTAGAGGAAGCATCGTAGTAATTTTTAATTCTTCCTTCTTGGTTCAATGACCTATGCCAAGACCCTTCATAAGAATTATTTTTAAACATCAGATTTTAGGTTAATCCTTTTTATGGGAAATATTTTAAATGTTACATCAGATTCGTATAAAAAAGATTAATAGAAATTCTTCAACTTTGAATATCACTTTGCATAACGCTTCATGAAAATGACGTATTACCTCTTACAATTAGAAATTCGGTATTATAGTAAATAGGATTAGGTGGTTTAGGTTCTATTTTTTTTACGCAGATTGTTAAAATTGATGCTAATTATCAATAAAAGAGATAATTATACATAAACACAGTTTATAGGTATTTTTATATAATGTTAGGGTGTCCCATAAGTTTATTTGGCACCGTGTATTCATATCGTATAAAAAAAAAAGGAAGAAACTTATGGGACACCCCAATATAATATTAACGAACACCTGTAATAAGTCAAAGCAAATTCAAATTCTAAATAATTTAAATTTGTTAGTTAAAATGCTTTAATTTTTATTCTGATTTTCATTAATTATCTTATATCAATTGTTTCAGGAAATATTGTGAATGAACGCAGTACCTTCTGATACTACTAGTGGCCACAAGTCGATAGAGCAGTAAGCATGGAGGACGGCCACTGTAAGACTGTGGACGAGGTGTTGAATTTTTTCAATGTCGATTCTGATAAGGGGTTGTCACCAGATCAGGTGAAGAGGAATCAAGAAAAATATGGTCTCAACGGTAAGTGTTTCTAGAGGTCACGATAGCCTACTTAAGACGTTGATTGCCACGCAAATTAGGATTGCTCATTGCGCCGACATGAATTTTTAATTATGCGCTGCCGGTCACCGATGACCCCCACATTGGATTAATTATTTTCATTTTTAACCTTTAGCGCTCTGCGAGTTTTGTAGCATTATAATGGATGTCTCAGTAGCGGAGCCAACAGAACGCTAAGAGTTAAGGAAAAAATCATTTCAAATTAATTGAAAAATTATTTATGCAATATACATTTGTTTGTGTTCGTTTTTAATTTCTATTGCAAAAATACTATATGAACACTGAATATGATTAACTATGTGTAGTAATATGTTTCACTCTCCAATAGTTGATTACAAATATTTGCAATTTACGAACTTAAAGTTTGTTCACGCAAAGTATTTTGCATTATTTTGTCAATTAAACGGTTGAAATTTGTTTATTGTGGGTTTTCAATCACATGCGCACGTGCCTTGAGAAGGGGATCAAGGTATTAAAGCGTGGTTCACTTTTTTCAATTGTTATTAAATCAATATCATGACCACCTATATACGTAGAGTATGTATGTACCTGTATGTACATATGGGGAAAGCGTAAGGGTTGTTACCATAATGTACTTTAATCTACAAGGTGGTAAGCCACCTCACCTCATCATATTATAGACGCCGTGTCTCTGATCATGAATCGAGTTTGCGTCCATCACCGAAATTTGGTTACGCCATTGCTTCGATTTACTTATTTTCCCCCTCCGGCATTATAATCTCGTAATGTATCCTTTAACTGGCAAAGCACTTCCACGAGTTTATTTTTCTAATATTCTTTCTGAGATTATAATATTTTTCGACCATTATACGGTCGTATTTTCGATCGATCTTAACATAAAACCTATCTATGATGTACCACAATTACGAATGAGAAGTCAACGATATTCTCCGTAAATTCTGTTTATTTTTTAGCAAAATATTTGAATCACTTAAAAGTATGTCATATCAAACATTAAATAATTATAGAATAAAATAATAAAACGTTATAAAAATCGTACGCACTTTTTAGCTTCCGGGATAATGTCGCGAGAAGTGCTGCTGGACAATCGACGTTTCGTAACAATGACATCACAACATTTGACATCAGTGCCTCCAAGCCGTGATGATGACAGCTGAAATGTTTGCGAAACGTTGGTTGTCCAGCAATAACTTCATGCGGCTCCATCCCGAAAGCCGAAAAGTGAGTATGAGCCTTCAACAATTGGATATCGATCGAAAAATGAGAGCTTGCCATTTTCGTTCTGGTCTGACCTAAGTTAAAAAATTGTTTTCAAGTATCCAAATTTTGGACGCGCCAGGATAATCCCTAGGTGCTCACGGGTCATATGTCAAAGTTTGACAGTTCTATCCGATACCCTTAAAAAAAAAAAAAGTGTCATTCGGATCTACTGATTTCAGGGGGGCTTTCATTTCACCTCAATATATTTTATTCCGTGAACCGTTATCTTCCATTTTGAAAATCTGTTTTTTTTTTTTTGGAGAGAGAGAGCTTTTTTATCACGTACAAATCGGCGGTCAAAGACCGTACTCGGTCTCCGGTAATGACATTGATGTGTAGAGCTCCTAACTCGTCGGCCACTATCAGTGAATGCCATTGACTGATGCAATTTACACTTGTCGAGGGCGAAAGTAAGGTCTTGAGAGTCGCATAAGTAGATGGGCGAAGCGGGGAGGCTAGACCACCGGATTAAATTAAGCCGCCTCCCATTCTAAGGGGTAAAAATTTGTTTTCGTATCGGCCTTGTACGGCCAGCCCTTTGTCGTCGCATGTGGCCAACGTCGCGTGACAAATCGGCGCGACGGCGACGACACTCTCGATGGAAACGCGGCCTCAGGGCGCAGCCTTCCCACCTACCCGTTTGACTTTTCTCTGAGCGCGAGTGAGGGCTGCGATGCGCATGCGTATGTGTCGATACATTGACACAAACTACTTTACACTTACTCTATTGGCATATTTTAACGCCTATGTTTCCCCTACAGTGACGAGGTGCTACTCACATGGGATTTCTACGTACATGTACACGCGTGTTTTTACACACATTTGCGTTAGTCTCATACCGATGAGTGTTTTTCTCCCACACCCGCAGTTTTCTCATATACGAAGAAGCGTGCCGTTTCACGCGGGTATACTTTTTCTGCATTGATGCGTATCGCTTCGGAAATTTCAACTTCAACGTACACACGTATGATATCCCACATTGACGCGTGTGTTACATTCGGACACGTGCGTCATTCCCACCTGACTCCGAGTGTTTCTGCGTAGACCGAAGAATGAGCGTGTGTGTGCGATCACGGTGAACATCGTCACGTGACTCCCGGTTAATCGATCGCGTAGCGGATGCGTGCACATGCATGGATGTTACGCATACATGGAAACACACGGAAAAATAATTCACAGTCGTGATCAAATTTTTCTTGCCGCAACAAATGTAAACACGTAACAATAAGCCTAGGAAATCTATTTGCAGAAATATTTTAGTATATCAATGACAAAACATCTGGGGCAATTGTATTCATGGTAGAACAATGTATCGTTTATTTGACCGAGTAGTAACGACAGTATTTTTTACAAAAATTCAAATCGGATATAAATTCTAATCTGAAAATCGATTTGTCCAGGAGAAGTTTTTTTTTTCCTCCACTCCGAGAGATTCTCTGAGAATGAACCATTGACTTCGCTTCTATTTAGGGCAAGGTGCTCTGAAAAGAAAGCTTTTTTTCCGTCATTCCAGTCTTCATTCTGTGAGGCCCCACCACACAGCATATATATGATCATTTGCGCTCGCGATGAAATTCCGGTATTGTCACGGGAAATCAATTATCACTTTTTCCATTATTTTTTTTGTGCACCATTTTCATAGGACCGAGATTACACTCGATGGAATGCCTCGGGTAACCTGTCGGCGATTTCAAGTGGGGCACGTTAAAGAGGAGCTTTCAGAACTTGCGCCAAACATTTTGTATCATTATTAGACCGAGGGGACTTATTTTTTGTATACGACTTTCGGTACAAATACGGTTAAATGATCTTCACTCTGATCGATCCAAATCATTTACCACCCTCCATATACTACGTAAATATTCCGCTTGAACGAGTGCGTGTCCGATGGCTAGTTCGATTATTTATTTATGTTTTTTTTTTATAATGGAATTCTTAGTCAATGACTCCTGAAATATTAAAACGGAATACCGCGTGTTGTTTTATAAACATTAGCTGCAAATTCAAGGTACATTGTATGTCTATGTGTAGGATAAATTACGTTGTATTAATTGCGCCTTTTCACTTTATGTTACAGAATTGCCGGCCGAAGAGGGTAAGTCTGCACAGTGATATTTGATGTAGCTACTAAAACTACTGGTTAGAATTGCATGTAAGAAATTGGCATCGATCGTTGGTAGCGAAAGTCTTGCCTTTCGTCCAAAGTATTAGGAAGGTTTTCTCCTTCTGCCGGTGAACACGCTTTCGGTAAGGTAATGCCAATATTACGAGAACAGTTGACTGCTAATGCCAGATCTGGCAGTCATAGGTTCTCTCGAAGCTTTCCAGTGCTTTAGGAGCGAGGTTTCGTACAAAATGCAAACTCGTCCACTGGCCCCGATGATTACATCATTAAACCGGCAGTATTTTCCCTACATTTACCTTGAAGAAATGCGCTGGTAATGTTGAGTAAGATTAGCTCTCGAGGCGTCTAGTTGTAGGTTGTAAAATGCAGGGTCAGTAGGTTTCTAAAGGTGGGGGCGGCAGCTACACGCACCTGTCGGTACGCCATTCCGATACATACGAAAGATACCGAGGTAGAAGTGTTTTCCATGAATGACTTAAGACTAATAAAACAAATGTTTAAGATCGGTTGGGAATCGCGATCTTTCGTGCGCATACATACAGTTCTCGATGAAAGGTTTAAGATTAAGGGAAAAATATATAGATTCTCGGGTATAGGAAAGTCATTATGTTGTACAGGAAGAATTAATTGAAAATCTATTCCTTTATGATCGATTTAGATACGTTTGGAATCTATCGATACGACATACTTAAGGTGATACGATAGAATTAGCCTATATGTACCTGAGAAGCCAAATCGTTGGTGAAAGTATTACCATTTCAAGTAGTACCATTTTGGTCCTGGTCTGGGCTGAGTTAAAAAATTTGGTTAAAAAAATCCAAATTTTGAATGTGTCGGGACAATTCTTAGATGATCAGGAGTGATGTGTCAGGACTGATTTGAACTTTCACTTCACCTTAAAGAAACAAATTCTTTACCGTGTATTCGAAATGACTCGCAACTTAATTCGATACGAGGTGTGATCGTATGATTATTATATAATATTTCTGATGTAACTATGTACGCAACACGAAGATTCACCTGTACGACGATATATCCATTCTGTCCTGTAATCGGAGTATGTAAATAAGTTGTGCGGAGGCGGTCTTCCGGACATGCGTTTCCGGATAGCGGACAAGTGCAAACGAATGAATCTGGCGGCGGTTCTATTCGGTGTAAGATGCCGATGTAGAGAAGGGTCTGTCGGGGATCAATCTCGATTAGCAGAGGGAGTTTTCATGTGTCGCTTTGGATGTCCGTAAATGTCCCTTCCACGCTTAGTGGCCTTTAGATGCGTTGAGGTGAAAACGCCCCGGCTCGGTTGAAGCTACGGAAAAGAGGCTTACGACGCAATGTGTCGTTATCGAAGTAGGCCAGCTTGAACAGCCCGAGCTTTATGCATTACGCTGCATGCGCACGCGACGTACACGCAAAAGCACGCGTTGGTAAACGCAACGCGAGTCTCGACGTCGGCAATGTTGCACCTTCGTCTTCTCCTCGTCACTCGCACCCACCGTTAAGGTGATGTGAAAGTGGCGTCGAAGAGGTATTGTTTATAAAGCTTTTCTCCCAACTCGGTTTGCCGAATAGTTTGAAACTTTACAACGTGAATGGGGAGACTATAAGGAAGGTTCTGAAACTCATGGAATTTCAATTCTTTCCCAATTTGTTTATAGGTATTTTAAAATAATTTATAAAAAATGAAATTTCGCGAGTTTCAGGATCTACCTTAGGGTCTCCCTATTCACGGTTTAAAGTATGAAACGATTTCAGACACCCAGTTCGTAGAAAAGATTTATGAACTATTGAGCTTTCGGATGCCAGTTTCACATCCCCTTAACACTATTTCTACCAAAGGTGTCGAAAGACACCTTTTAAAATTTTAACTTTAAATTATTATCAAAGTTTAATAATTTTTTCTCAATGTTTTGAGTTTTCGTATAATAATTGTTAAATTTATTTAGCGGTATCATTTTCCTCCAGCTCATCGAAACCTTTTGGTCGAAATAGGTATACACAAAATCATGGTAGAAATAGTGTTAGAGCATTTGGAAGCGTCGTTCTCGCTTAATCGAATGCCTTGGAATCTCTTGAACGGATATTTAGAACTCTATAATGGATTGCTTAACATATTCAGTGCCGAAACAAATGACGAGTACGCTGTCGTAAATGGGCCATGGGTCATCGGCGACCAACGTGGCACGGATTGTGTTAATTCGTTTGTATGCGCCGCTGCAGTCGCACTTGAGGAGGAGGAATTGTTATTTTCGTCACATCGTTTAATTTGACTCTTATTTAGTCTTCCGTGTTTGGCATAGTTTGCATAATTTCGGCTTTTCTTAGACAAGTTTTAAGGAATAGGTGGTTGTAGCTACTGTTTTTAGTGGGGAGGTATCGTGATGTTAAAAAACGGAGTTTCTATCTTAGAAGTTGTATCTTCGCGTCATAATTGTCATTTGCGGTCACATTTGCAATGTTCAGCAATTTCATTCGATTTGAAAGTTCAAACGATTTAACGGGTCATCGATCGATACCAATTTCTTGTATAAATAATTATTAAGGTACCTCAGAATATCACTTTTGACGGTGTCAACTTGAAATTCTTGGCATTGCTATCTTTAACATATTTCTGGCGTCAATTGGATTTGTAATGATTATTCTGAGTTAAATGACGCGATGCAACTTATGAATCATTCATTGTAGTTTTAGTCAATTTTCCTATTTGTGATTTTTCCATTTTCGCGATATCACTGGTTTGCTGAAAATGATTCTATGAACTTTCTAGCTATATTTATCTATATAGATAACAGCTGACGGAATTAATTAACACGAATACCATTGAGCCGGAAATATTTTTTTAGTTTTCTATACTTACTGAGAAATCTTATGTTTATCCTCGCAGGGAAATCCATTTGGCAACTCGTCCTGGAACAATTCGACGATCTTCTAGTGAAGATTCTTCTATTAGCTGCAATTATTTCTTTCGTAAGTAATTTCAATGATATTTATTTACACGAAAAGACGTGTAAATCACGCTTACTTTGCATAAAGTGAAGACAAACACGAATTGGAGGCCATGTCATTTCTGTAGTATTAATTATTTTCTTATTCTCTCGCAGGTATTAGCTTTATTTGAAGAGCACGATGATGCGTTTACGGCATTCGTCGAGCCATTCGTCATCTTGCTCATCCTCATCGCCAACGCCGTGGTCGGCGTGTGGCAGGAACGTAACGCAGAGTCCGCTATCGAGGCGCTCAAAGAGTACGAGCCCGAGATGGGCAAAGTCGTACGCTCCGACAAAGCCGGAGTCCAGAGGATTCGAGCGAAGGAGATTGTTCCCGGAGACATTGTAGAAGTGTCTGTCGGCGATAAGATCCCGGCTGACATTCGCCTTACCAAGATCTTCTCGACCACCCTCAGGATCGACCAGTCCATCCTGACCGGTGAATCTGTTTCCGTCATCAAGCACACCGACCCTGTCCCTGACCCACGTGCTGTCAATCAGGTGAGCATATCTTCGTAAGATCATCTAGCGCTTACTGATACGAAATGGTATCAATATGTCGATGCAATGTTGTACACGATTTCATGACAATAATTCCATGTCTTGAAAAATTCACGTTTAGTTTGTCATTGTTCTTTTGAATATGTATCACCGATTTGATGATTTTGCTTCAGGACAAGAAAAACATTCTGTTCTCCGGTACCAATGTGGCCGCTGGTAAAGCCCGAGGTGTCGTTATCGGAACTGGACTCAATACAGCTATCGGTAAGATTCGTACCGAGATGTCCGAAACCGAGGAGATCAAGACTCCTCTTCAGCAGAAGTTGGACGAATTCGGCGAACAGCTCTCGAAGGTGATCTCCGTCATTTGCGTCGCCGTATGGGCCATCAATATTGGCCACTTCAACGATCCTGCGCACGGTGGCTCCTGGATCAAGGGCGCCATCTACTACTTCAAGATCGCTGTTGCCTTGGCAGTAGCTGCCATCCCTGAGGGTCTGCCCGCTGTCATCACTACTTGTCTGGCGCTGGGAACTCGCCGTATGGCCAAAAAGAATGCGATCGTGCGATCTCTGCCATCCGTTGAGACTCTTGGTTGCACATCTGTCATCTGCTCTGACAAAACGGGAACCTTGACCACCAATCAGATGTCCGTTAGTCGGTAAGATGTTATGTATAAGTTTGGTCATTTGTAGATTGTATTGCATTTTATTTCTTATATGTTCTGAATGAAAACGTAAGGAATTACAATTTGAAATGTTTAATTAAACGAATAAAATTAATTTTCCTAAGTTACCTATTATCATTAATATAATCATTTCTATATTTCAGTATGTTCGTCTTCGACAAGATCGAAGGCTCCGATAGTAGTTTCCACGAATTCGAGATCACAGGGTCAACATATGAGCCTAATGGCGAAATCTTTTTGAAAGGCCAAAAGGTTAAGGGTGCGGATTACGAGACGCTTCACGAGATTAGCACAATTTGTATTATGTGCAACGATTCTGCCATTGATTTCAACGAATTTAAGCAGGCTTTCGAGAAGGTCGGCGAAGCCACCGAGACAGCTTTGATTGTTTTGGCCGAGAAAATCAATCCCTTCGGCGTACCTAAAACAGGTCTCGACCGCCGAACAGCGGCCATCGTCGTCAGACAAGACATTGAGACCAAATGGAAGAAGGAATTCACCTTGGAGTTCTCCAGAGACCGCAAATCGATGTCTTCTTACTGCGTACCTTTGAAACCCAGCAAGTTAGGAACTGGCCCGAAATTGTTTGTCAAAGGTGCCCCTGAAGGTGTTCTAGACAGGTGCACGCATGCTCGTGTAGGAACCCAGAAAGTACCGCTGACGTCTACCCTGAAAAATCGCATCTTGGACTTGACTAGACAATACGGTACCGGAAGAGACACCTTACGTTGTTTGGCTCTGGCTACCGCTGACCATCCCTTGAAACCCGAAGAAATGGACCTCGGTGATTCTACCAAATTCTACACATATGAGAAAGAGCTTACCTTCATCGGTGTCGTTGGTATGCTCGACCCACCCCGCAAGGAAGTCTTTGACTCCATCGCTAGGTGCCGTGATGCTGGTATCCGAGTCATTGTCATTACTGGTGATAACAAGGCTACCGCTGAAGCTATTTGCCGCCGCATTGGAGTCTTCGGCGAAGATGAAGATACCACTGGAAAGTCTTACTCTGGACGTGAATTCGACGATCTTCCAATAGCTGAACAGAAAGCTGCTTGTGCCAGAGCTCGTTTGTTTTCTCGGGTTGAACCCGCTCATAAGTCCAAGATTGTGGAATACTTACAGAGTATGAACGAAATCTCTGCTATGGTAAGAATCTTACTTTTTCTTACAAATAGTGGTAGTAGAATGAATTGGATCAACCAGGTCGACAGAGGCATTGATTTATGTTTACTTTTATTTAAATTATTGGGTTTTACTATCTTTTATAGTTTTTAAATTAAAATGTCAAAATTAGAATTTTCATCTAAATATGTATCTTGTAATTGTTTTTGAATTATTGTAATGTACGATGCATTTGTTTAGACTGGAGATGGTGTCAATGACGCACCGGCGCTAAAGAAAGCTGAAATTGGTATCGCTATGGGATCTGGTACCGCCGTCGCAAAATCTGCCTCCGAGATGGTATTGGCTGACGACAATTTCTCCTCTATCGTTGCTGCTGTAGAGGAAGGCCGTGCAATTTACAACAACATGAAACAATTCATCCGTTACTTGATCTCTTCTAATATTGGTGAAGTCGTGAGGTAATGCATATTTAATTATCAAGAGTTTATCGACACATAGAAAACATTAATTGACCTTTTGTGCATGGCGTTACAGTATCTTCTTGACTGCTGCTCTTGGTCTTCCCGAAGCCCTGATTCCCGTACAGCTCCTCTGGGTCAATCTGGTCACTGATGGACTTCCGGCAACTGCTCTTGGTTTTAATCCTCCCGATCTCGACATCATGGAGAAGGTATTAGAAAGGAAATATACAAAGTTACAGACGAATCAGATTCTTTTAGATCCTTTTTTAACGTTAGATTTACGAAAACCGTCAATTTTACGGATTTAAAAGTGGAAACTAACTTAAGTAATAATTGGCAATAGATTTAGTGTTGACAACGGTTGTATTGCATTTTCTAGCCTCCTAGGAAAGCCGACGAGTCCCTCATCTCTGGTTGGTTGTTCTTCCGATACTTGGCTATTGGTGGATATGTAGGTGCTGCCACTGTTGGATCTGCTGCATGGTGGTTCTTATACAGTCCGCATGGTCCACAGTTAAATTATTATCAACTGGTAAGGTTTTGATTTTTTTAAAGATCGATAATATTTATCCTCCACTTGTCTAACTTGAAACTATTTAGCCTGGGGATTTCTTTTCATTCAATACTTGATACACACTCTACCTATATTAAATGATTGTTTATTTATGTTTAAACTTACTTGTTCCATACAGACTCATCACTTGGCTTGTATTGGTGGCGGAGAAGAATTCAAGGGAGTCAACTGCAAGGTTTTCACCGATCCTCATCCCATGACCATGGCCCTTTCTGTTCTCGTTACCATTGAGATGTTGAACGCCATGAACAGGTATACTCCAGTTAATAATGATTTGAGTAATTTTTATAGATTACAGCGGTGAATGATTAATAATCCATAATGTTTTAGCTTGTCAGAGAATCAATCTCTCATCACAATGCCTCCATGGTCCAACATGTGGCTGATTGCCTCGATGGCTCTTTCCTTTACACTCCACTTCGTCATCCTCTATGTTGAGGTCCTCTCGGTAAGGGAAAATAAATTAGCTTTGAATCTTTACAGATGTAGTTTTCAATGGTGTAGAATTAATGCCTCAAGTGCGAAAAGTAGCCATTTTCCTCAAGAGTACCGATAAACGATGGGTTTCATACGAGGTGCATTTATTTTTCCTGCGCTGTTTGTTACTAGTTTGGTCCATTTTTTACGTTAATATTCTTACTTTGCTTGGTCGGATAACGATCGATTCATTTTATCATATACTTTCTCCAAGTTAGCGTACCTACTCTCTTATTCGTAATACATACCACATTATATATGAATATTTAATTACGAAGTAACACTTATCTATGATTTTGGCTGATTCCAGTCCGTGTTCCAAGTGACCCCCCTGACTACCGAGGAGTGGGTTACCGTTATGAAGTTCTCCATTCCAGTGGTACTTCTCGACGAAACCCTGAAGTTCGTTGCCAGAAAAATCACAGACGGTGAGAATCCCATTTACACCACACACTGGATCGTTGTAATGTGGGCCGTGTTCTTTGGACTGTTACAAATTTGCCCCATCTAGAGCGTCCGTTCGTTCCACGTAGCTTAATGGAACGGTGTTTTTTTTTCCTGTGGAAAGCATCGCTGACCGAAACCCTGGACTTGCAGTTGCATTTAACTAAACTTCCCACCATGTTGCGGGAAGGTCTCGACAGAGACTGGGGAAGATGAGTTATTAACGAAGTGTGTTTAAGTGAAATTTTAACAAGTTTGAGTGTCGCGCATGGTGTTAGTCGGTGCAACCACATAAGAGCATCAATGAGAGAAAAAAAAAAACAGCGAAATGGAGAAAGAGAGGGAGAAAAAGAAATATATCATACAAAATGCTGGTAAGGGACACCAACACCCGCACTGCGCCGTTACCCAGTCGGCGTCACCGACACACAGTTGTATCAACTCCAGAGTGGCTCCGAGTATAAAGTACCACCCACTACCACCTACCGTAAATCAAAGGAATCACACGTCATTTTTCAATTGTTTTATACGAGTGCCTTTTTAAGCGTGTTACATAACTCCTCCGTTAAGTGATAACACAACATTAACCAGTTAGAACTCTGGTAGTAAGACGCGACACTCCCAACACCTCTGCATAACATATATGTCGATTCTGCTTTCCCAGCAGATGTTGTGTTCCTTGCACTCTAACGCTTGGTGTTGGTATGCGTATTACACCTCTAGAGTACCTCGGTACCTTTTAAACTGGCGATCGCTGAGTTGGTCTCGCGACCGATCCACCGATGCTTTCCGTCAGTGTCTCTTCGTCCTTCGGGGACGCCTGGCTCTCGGCGACGATCCTGCACACAGACTTTTAAGTGGCGCATGACAGTTTCACCTCGCACTCGATTCATTGAACTTACACTGGAAGGCGTTATCTGTGTACATTCATAGTGCGAGTCTTAAATGACATCTTGGTGGCAATTACATATTTAAATCTATGTTCCGTTTTATATTCGCGGTACTTGGTAACAAGGTAAGTAAAGGATATCGTGGGCTTAAACGCCCTTCTTTAGGATGCTTTGTGTGCGACAGTAAAGTAACATGTGATATTAATAACGCATGAACGATGCGTCCCGCACCTAGGCTGCAGTCGAACGACATTCTTATAGTCCCGAAATTTGTGTGTAAATAATTTTTGGCGGAGTCACTCTGAAAGGATGAAAGAAAAAAATAGAAGGAAAGAGATCGGTTGATTTGATTGCTCTCTTTTGATCCGATATCAGTATATATATATATATCAACGATCGTAATCATTAAACTATACTTATACTGAAAGGCGCAGGTATGTCTTTTGGTGTGCGTAGAAAGAGAGGCCAGACCTTATCGTCCATTTGTTTCTATGCGCATTATCTCTGCATACAAAATCGTCGTATCATTCCTAAGTCAGATCTAATCAACCGTTGTCAGTATAGTGTTCCGTTTAAATGATCTGTGCCTCAGGGTACATAATACATCAAGTTTCCTTGATATATTCCAAATATCTTTTCTATAACGATTTTTATTTACGGTGTAATGTTAAAACATTATCTTGTACTTATTGTGAAGACTCGCAGTACTTGCGTGTCGCTCTTCAATATATTCGGAACCAAGCAACAACGCGATAAGCCTTCCAGTGTCAGTATGTTTTATAGCGATCGCACTCAATGACGATTCCTGATGAGTGAATCCTCTGGTTGAGTTAGCCAGTGGTCTTTCTAGCTAGAAATACCGATTTACTAATGTCATAAGTAAGCCCTCGCGTATACGTTACGCATAGTGGTAGGTAGGATCGCACGCTTTTGCGCGCGAAGAACTCTAGCATAGATTAGGAACATGATCAACGATCGATAATCGCCCTGCGAAGTACGGAGGTGAATGAGAGTTCCTCGGATCGCCAATGTACCAATTGGTCACCGGGATACGTTAATAGCGGATATACTTAGGTCTTTTTCTAATATTATATTCACTTGTACATATATATTACTACATGGTGGTAGACGATAACGATGCATTGTACATTATAGAGTAAAATCGCGTCGAATCGTCGTATCGGTATTAACGGGCTCGTCGGAAAAGCATCGGTGGCCCGATTAGTTAACGAGATCGCTAAGCTCGAGATCCACGTGTTCTTTCGAAATCCCACAAGAGTACATTCGTGTGAATTCTATTATCCCGTGCCCTCACTTAATCCAGATGTGATCACATTCCGTTGAAGAATCATCATTCTAGATGTGTTAACATTTCGAGAGCGTTCATTTTGACCAGTTGTCGAAAGCTTCTTTTCCTTTCGACGGTTTGATTTCATTTTTATACAGGCCATGTAAGAGTATACATGATAATGATTAGGATGGTTATAGAATAATTCTAAACTTTGTTTACTTTTAATTAGTCGCATGAAGTCTGTTTCACCTCAGCGAGGGGTTATTCACTTGGAATTAAGTGAAAACGATTTCCTTTTTTGAGAGCCATTGATTTTATGTGATCAATAATAGCGACACTCGTCTTAAAATTATTCGATGATTTAAAATGATTTCCACTGATTTCTGCTTGCGATTTTTTCATGATTTCAAGCGTTAAAATACATGATTTCCTGGGTGAATACCCCCTCGGATTTCAACCTGGGGTAGACTAAATAGGAGCCGAAAGGAGTGACTAATTAAAAGTTAAATCGTCGCAATAATTTCAGTTCTCACATTAGTGTTAATGTAAATGGCATATTCGAATTCAATTGTTTTATACGTGAAGTGATGTTAATAAATTAGGGACGTGTCGTTTTATTCTTTACATGGTAAATCATCGGGAACGTATAACGATAATACATTTCTATCTTTAAATGTTTAATAATCTTGGAGCATAAAATAGAGATTGTATTGAAATTTTCATAAGATTGTGAAGTATTCGAAAATATTCGTCAAGGGTGGTCTTAACCATTCGTGTGTGTAAATTAAGGTTCTTTTTATATAATCAACCGAACAGCCATTATTTCGTTCACATGTGGTTGTCCGTTGCTCATGCAACCTCCACAAAATTGAATATTAATTTTAACACTTATTAATATTGCGACTTTACTTTGATGAAATTTTTCTTGCTTCAAGTTTGGTACATTCCTAATATCAGGTGCACATACTGAAAAGTGGAGGGTGAAACCAAGTGATTCTCTAAAGAACTTCGAAACTATCAATCCTGAGTGAATTCCAGATCAGACGGGGTCTCTCATTGTTCATGATACCCTACATAAAATGTCTTCCTAGTAGAACTTGTGCATGCGCATACCTCGTCGCACCTACTTTATGGCACCCGTATCCTTGATGACCTACCTGTAAGATTTACAATTAATTCGATCAGTGTTAAATCCTTTGCCTTGCCTCTGGACTAGACCACATGTAATCGGGCCAAAGGTGCTTAAGGTGATGCGAAAGTGGCGTGAAAAACCCACGTTTATGAACCTTTTTCCGGACTGAGTGTACCGTATCATTTCAAACTTGACAATGTTAATGTGGAAGCTATAAAAAAGGTCCTGATACCCATAAAATTTCAATTCTTAAAAAACTTGTTTACAGATGTTCTCAAACATTTTTTGTATAAAATGAAATTTCATGAGTTTCAGGACCTACCTTAGGGCTTCCACATCCACATTGTAATTTGAAACGATTCAGTACACCCAGTTTATAGAAAAGTTTCATGAACGATTTACCTTTCGAATGCCACTATCACATCCCCTTAAAACATCAATCTCTGTTTTTTTTTAATTTGTCGAATTTCTTTCTCAACGAATATGACTAACTCGGATAATTTAAGATATTTTTGAAACGAGGGAGAAAAAAAAACGTCCTTACTGAGTTTACACGGGGTAATGAGTTTCATTTTAAATAAGATTAAATGTATATTTATTTAAGGGTCTAGTAAAGCAAGGTAGTCATATTGAATTTTGACGCGTATTGAAATGGACCTTTTTATGAGGTGTCCTCCTTTCTGATGTCAAAATTCAATATGGCCGACATCCTTTACTTGACCCTTAAAGTGACGTATTACATGTTAGGCCATTGGAAAGGGAAGTAGTCAAGAGACAAGGTAGTGGAAAATCTTCGCTTATCTTAAAATGTTCGACGTGCTATATGTACTTGTACGGGATCTGTGTACTGACTGAATATTTCAAGTCTCTGAAAAGTTTGCAAATTTAACGTATCTTTTGGACCTTGATAGGCAGAAAATTACTCATGTAAATCATGGAGACTACTAATAAGATGTAATGAATATGGAAAATATTTCGCAAGTTGGAATCGGGTGGCTGTCCAGACATTCTTATCGACTTGGATATAAATTAGATATTGAAAGGATATTAAATCAATTGATTAGAATGTCTGGACTCTTTTTTAAAGTCTTTGGTCTCTTGAAAATTTCATCGCGCGGAACAATGGACAATTGCAGTATCAAGGTTTTAAGGGATACGTTATTTTGCACCTAATACTTTAATGTTAATCTATTAACTGCGCAAAGTCTCGAAATCATCTATTCCACATTATGGACGGCGCAGACTTGAAAATAAACGATTAGTTTACATAGAGCAGGTTTGCACATTATTAAAAAGAAAAGAGTCATCAGTTAAAATGATCCACTTTTCCATGTTAGAATGATGGCATTAATGATAGAATGATTCATTGATTTGTCTCAAATATCTTTGTTACTCAAAATTAAAAAGAAAGTTTTTTTTTTCTCGTAAATCGAAAATATCGGGTGATCGAAACAGACGTAACTGGTTCATTTTAAGTGTTGATAAAGAATTGCGTGATATACAATATTCACATTGAAAAGTGCATTTCATGACGCATAGCTGCTCTAATGTTAATTAATCTTCAAGTTACAGCTCGGCAAATTCACGAATCAGTGAATGATATTGTCTTAGAAGGAAATGAATACTTGTCAAATCTGACCTGATTAATGCATAAATGTGTAAAATCATAACAAAGAAATGATTACTGGTGGTATCGCAGTGGTGGTCGCGTACACGTTAGATCTCTTCAAACATGTTCCAATTTACAATCATTTCTGAAATCCAAGGGTTAAACTTGAGCCCTGATACAACATAATCTCTGAATTAAAGAGTTGCGATTGGAAACTTAATGCGTGAAACTGATTTTTAGAAAAACGACGGCATTGAAGAAAAAAAAAGTGTTAACTTGAAACATTATTAAATGATCAAGTTACTACTTTAATCTTATATCTTTTCCTGTGATCAGTAATTAGTCCCTTCCTAAGACTTCATTATTGACGTTTTTCATTTTTTCACTCTCGGCTCTTTAATTAACCAATGTTGTCATTGGATTAATTCCAACATTAAAGAGGGCTTAGTTTCAAACCGCAGTGGCATCGATTCGATTCTAAATCTGTTTAATTGAACCCTAATCACGCGCCAATCGCTGTCGGCAAATTAGCTCTAAGTGTTAAGCTCGGCACGAGTTCGAGTAAGAAGGTATATCCTATGTTACTCAACGGCGGACATTTGCTCTTTTAAGATGAAGAAAAAAAAAAAAAGAAATCTAATATAAGACTGACAGTGACTTTCGGTGGAGCAAATACGACGCGATGAATCGATGAGAGCACGCGCGATAATTTAATTTATTAGCAGAATTGTTGGGTCTCTTATAATTAATGTAGATTAATATATTAACGGTAACGTGACATCTACATAACGCGAAAGGGGTGTGAATACTTAAGAATAGTCGAACGAAATTTGAGGAACTGTTTGGAAGATTTCAAGTGTCGCCGATGAGTCGCATCGCACTTTGCTCCTAATTGACGTGTATTGAACGTTTATCCTTTCGGTAATGATCTTTCATGTATCGCGGTACGTATATCACAACTTAACAGTAGATGCGAAAGTTACTTCTAAAATGAATCTAAACATTCCTCCCGTTTATATCGAATGAACGTCGAAGAATTGTAAATTGAGAATAATTGCAATGTTAAATTTATACATACATAAGGGAAGGAAATCTATTTGTTTGTGAAAAGGTTCGGGCCGAACGGATTAAATGTAGATACATGAAACTTTTCCGAGATTTAGGGAAAAGGGAGAGAGGGGGTTGCGGCGGTAAAATATCGAGAGTGAAATAATAGGAAACTTGGCAGAAAAGTTTCGATTTTTAGCCTTGACGAATGCTGGAAGCCACTTAGTGTTGCGTGGAACTGTCTTTGTAAAAAGGTTACCTAGGTGTAATGGGATCACGGATATGTAGTTTTTGCCTTCCGAGGTTTATTCTTTTTCTTGTAGTAGGGAATGCGCCAATCAACATGCGTTTTTTTTTTTTTTCTTGGGAACTGTGCTTACGTGGACGTTCTTCGAGCTTGCCATCGAATGCGATCGTTGTGCTACAATAACTCCTGTATCATCGATGCGAAACTCGCGATCTTGCCTTCTACACATTCCCTCATATTAAATCTAACAGCGCCCCGAATTCTACTTAAGCACAGATTGCATAATTACATTATCACTATTTATCATGGACGTAAATACGTAGCTAGATCACAAACTTGCCTGATTTATTTTGACGCGTATTCGTGCATTTAATGTATTTTAAATTGACCTAATCTCTTGATCGCATCCTTTCAACTTATCACCATGCATTCTGTTTTGCCCATTAATTATCCTCAACCGATAACAATAATCCAGGCATTCATCGCGTAGAATCGCAAAACATTTACTCTCTGATAATAAGTTTAATTAAAAACGTACAGTATGTGCAGTCTTTCTGATCTTTTTCCATACTTGCGAAACACGGAGTGTCATTTAGATTAGGATACAACTGCCGATACTTTACTGGGGTCTGATTAATTTATAGCATGCGAGGAAACCGAATAACTCAATATATTCCAACGATTCCGTAATTAACATTCCATTGTTCAAGCCATGGTATAGGGAAACGGTGTGAAATAAACGATATCAAATACGTAGTGCACGGGAAAGGTCCTTTAATAATTTCGAAGGTGTGGTCTTATCGGAAGACATTCTAGGAAGGTAGAATTTTTTCTATACGAAGTTCTGTCTAAAAGACATCCGTTGTATCACTAATTGACTTTTACTAGACATTAAAAGACGCACGTGGTACGTAATTGGCTTTGAGCGAGTTCAAGAACCGCAATCGTGAAATACATTCTCACTTCCGATGGTTGTACGAGTATGCGTTGAAAAACCGGCAAATGTAAATCTTGTAGCGAGTTCCCAGCAGAAGGGAACAAAGAGCACCGTCTTCTGTCCAGACTAGGCGAATTTAATTGTACATCGAGTATGCTCAATCGATACGACGAAGTAGTTCTCACGTTGGCTTGCTTCCACGTCGGATCAGGGAACATCTTGTAAGGTTACGGGTTTTTCCTAAATAACATAAAAAATATCACGACACAACAGACATGATTGAGAAAAAAGGGGGAGTGCGGAAATGCAGCTGAAACGCATGGTCGTCCTAAGCGTGTAATTTCACTGCCTTTCCACACAATGCTTTCAATTTGTCCGAGCAAAAGTGGTTCGGCAAGCCACCGTGAGCTTGCAAAAGCGCCAACTTAAGAAAGGAACCTAATCGTTCGCATCCATCCTCGACGGACACCTCCTGGGGTGGCTGACTTACGATAATTGTAATTATACGTGTCGCGCAAACGCGGCCCCTCTCCCCGGGCACGTCGCGATTAGCAACTATTTGTTTATCACTTTATTTATCTACACCCATTCGTGCGAGCGAAGCGGGTCTAAGGTGACCGATATTATAACAAAAGCGTAGGTGTCGCGACGGTTGGGAAAACCGTCTCATCGGACGCTCGTTATAATAATAAAAGCGTGCGTTACTAAAGCGTGTTTGTTATCTATGATCGACCCGTTTATCGTGGATTATGAGTTTGGTCATTCGTACATATTTATTTCGACAATTCATCGTCCTTTTTCGTCTTTGATTAATTTTCGAGCCTCCTTTCGGATGTGAGGTAAACGTTCAGGCTGGCAGTAATCTTTCTTCTTTTTTTTTTTCTTTTTTTTTTCTAGCAATGAATTCGCCAAGTTATGTGTAGGAGGATTTCCTGAAAGGAAGGAAGTGTATTCATTTGGGCACAAAGCTGAGTTTTCATTATTAAGAGGTGGACGTTTCATTCAACATGAAAGAATGACGGCCAGCTTTTCTCTTTCGGGCTGCTCTCCATGGGAAGAATTAAAAAACTTCTTCATATGTTCATTACTTTTTACATTGAGGTGGTAAAAAAGAGAATGTCACGTGAAATATTAAAGCCTTTAGTCTTTGGATGTGATTAAAGTCTCTTTGTTTCACGCTTTATTTGCCCTTTTTTCGGTCGAAGAAAAATGTAACAAACACAATTTTAGAATTTATCAAAGTATTTAATTACTTGGAGTTGATAGATCGTCTAGATCGTTACGTCTAACTTGTCGATCAAAGCGTAACAGTGACATTCTACATTTTTCAGTCCCACCAAATCTATATGAAAGGTTACTCAGCTTGCAATGTTTATTATTTTCACAAAAATTATGTTATTTGTTCATGAAATTTATGCAAGATACCACGCAAAATTTGTAACAGAATGCAGCCTTGAACGGAGTTGGGCCTTGTTTTAGCAGGTCCCCTAATGCAGCTAATTCCTGTAATATACAGATTTTAATATCCGTAATATCTCGTTAAATTTTCTAAGTAGGTTCCAATACGAATTCGCAGACTTTGTGCATGATACGTGTTATCCGATCACTAATTGTCTCGCTATTCTCTAACTACTGTAATATCTTCACCTGTCCCCGTCGTCGTCGCTGAAAACCGCCGCAGTTGTTTGAAGTTGTTTCCTGCCTGCCGAATTTGTGAATGAATTCAGTCACGCGACCAGAACCGAAAGGAGACATCGGATGTTGGTTCTTACTTTGGATTATCCAGGTAACCTATTTCTATTCTCAATCGTTATTATCTGTTATCGTCCGATCTTCACTTGTTCTATGTTGAAATGCTGCCGTTGTTGTCTGGACTTCTTCAGTCGTTCTGTGTTTAAAATCCTGCTTGCTCTTACGAGTACACATGCAGAATATAATACAAATTTTCTGCTATTCAAATATTTCAATTTTATCGCGGATCTTCACGAATCTTTTTTTTTTTTTTCTATTTTTGCCTACTGTATTCAAAAATAAATTTTGACTAAATACACGTACACCATTTGCAATAATTTCAGTTGAATGTGAAAGTCACTAGCAGCTAAGTCGTAATGCCAGTACAATTTTTGTAATTCTTGACAAATTAAGGGAACTTTTATTTCTAACGTGCATTCGTAGATAAGCATTCCTAGTTTCTCCTGGCCACGTGTTAAAATTAACGATAAGCTGCATATGTGCTTTACTTAAACAGATTGCTCGATGTCTTCACGGGGAAATACTTTATGAGTTGTTATTTATAAACCGTGCCAGTGAAGGGAGAAAGGCCTTAGTTTCTACATTAACTATGACTGTCTATACAATTTACGAAAACAAAATGGCTTCTTCGCGAACGAGAGACCCGATCGACCAAGGAAGTTCGAGCTTCGGTCCCCGCTTCAACCCCGCTTCTTCGGCTTTATATCTCGTGCTGCTTCAGTCCTGCGCTGCTGTTTCCCAGCTTGGATAGTCACCTTTTTTCTCGTGGCCATTAGAGGTGCCAGTTGTTCGTCGGTCTAACGTCTCTATAATGTTATTGCAGTGCCCCAGTCGGTGCCAGGGCAAAAGTAAGGGACTTATAAGGGACCGCTTCTGGAGGAGTCGGAGGATTGCCGGATTAGAGAGAGAGAGAGAGACCCCGGAATCTGCAAGGGAGAAACAATCAGCCGCAGTGACATCCCCGCAAAAAAAAAAGAGAGAACGGAGCAAGTTTACCTGCACATTCACGGTCTCTCTGCGTCCTGGTGTATCGTATGTTCCGGGGGGGTGCGAGCGAGCGAGATGTGACATCCGATCACAGACATGCACACATGAGTCTAGATCAACATATATACATATACACGCACACATATATATGTATATACATATAACAAATCTAACGTCGTCGCGGATGACGAGGGTACAAAGCATTCGTTTAGGTCATCTTCGCGACTATCGAAGGCGCCCTGGAAGGAGGTAGAAATCGGGAGGAAAGAGAAGATGGATACGTCCCACAGGTGCCGCACCGAGATTCGCCGGCCTCCCAACAATTTTTACCTAGGAGAAAGAAAGAAAAAAAGCCACTCTAACCGTAGTAATTCTTTACTATTGTTTTACTTTGCGCAATTGTTCCAGTAGGACGCCTGCTAATCCAAAAGTGGGCCTAAATCTGGCACACAACCTGCGGTGAGCCGGCCCTCACAGCGCGAATTCGACCTTCCACGGACTACCGGACTTGTACAAGAGATGGAGAGAAAGAGGGAAGGGGGGAGAAAAGGGGAGCCAAGCACGTCCCGACGGCGACTTAACACCGCCACCATCTAACGAGCTTTGCTAGATTGTCGGAGGCGCGGTAAGGTACTTCGAGGGGCCTCAGCTGCTGACAAATTAATATGCTAAAACCAAGTAGGGCAGAGAGGGGAGAAAGTGAGAGAATGCTAGAAAAAGGAGAATCTTTCACGTTGCACGGGATGTTTCAAGAACTTTCTTAGGCGTCTCACGCGACGCCGGAGGGAGCAGATCTCCCTGGATCGGCTAGAACGCAATGAAGTTCGCGACATATTAGTTAATGCATGTCATTAGTTGCTTTCGGGACTCTCTTCCATCTTCGATCTGTCGCTTCTTCTTCTACTTCTATTTCTATTTCTCCCTGTTTATGTATACCCTTTCCCTAAATTCTTCCAAAGATCAATGCTCGGCCGCCGCGACGCCAGAAGTAGCCGGAAAGTTCCGGCAGCTTTTTCATGTACGAGATGCCTTCCCTCCTCTTCCTCCCATACATATTCGTCGCTTTCATTCAACAAAATACACGTCGATCATTACGATCACTCGATTATTTATTTAAGGACCTTATTCATTTGTAATTATACATAGGCAGTCGCGAGCCGATCGGTTTTATTCGGGCTAGGTGCCGGCAGCGCCCTTCTCGGGTAGAATCCAAGCGGCGTCCGCGCGAACTATTCGAATAAGATTCGGACACCTCGATCGATTACCGACACGCTGCTATTAATTAATATGATTCCATTAAAATTCTTATGTTTCAAACAAGGAAATACATACGTGGAAGCCGATTATATTGCAATCATGTTTAATATTTCCAGGCTCTGGGAAACGTAATCAGACGCGTGTACACAAGTTGCCCATAAAGTATTGCACGTTCGTGCGTGTATGTAATGTACGTGATCGTGAATCCTTCCATGGTATATATATGAATATTATTAATATAGCCGTATATATGCCAGGAGAGGCATTCCGTAACATTATGTTTTGTGCATGATGTACGTTTAGCGACTTTGCTCGCGTACACCAGTATATTCTGTGATCGTCGCGAAGTACGTTCAGGGGATATTCGCGGAAGATTCGCTATATGCGAATTTCGACGCGCATGCGCATGGAAAAGACCACGATTTACGATAGTCGACGATTTGCCAAAGAGCGTCAAAAGGAGGAGACCGTCCGTTGCTCGAACTAAAGTGTGGGTATAATATATATTATATATAATATTATATATTATATACATTATATGTTATGTATATTACATATTCTAACCGATGTATATATATATACCTGTGCATATATATGTATATAGGTTCGAAGTCGAAACACTTAACTAAATCTATAATATTAAACATTGTACATAACTATATATGATTATTACGGTGAGGTATGTATAAACCACGTGACGTAGAAGTATATTTTGAAGAAAAAAAAAGATGGGGACTTAGTGCAACATGGCGGATAAGCTGAGGAATAAATAGTGGTGTTAATTAATATAACCAGAGTTAAGATGTCGCGAAAGTATATATGTAATTATTTGTGGAATTGGAAAGCGGGCCTCGAGCGAGAAGGATTCAGATGCCGCGACGGCGACGCCATTAAAATATAAATATCATCGATTACACTCAGAGTTCGAGGATCGCTCCTCGTTTCCTCTTCTCGGGTAAAATTGTATTTTACTTAATTAGCAAATTATTTATTTTTTAATAGAGGCGGAATTAGCCGCCTCGCGACATTCTGAGTGTTGGGTAGAGCGTGGGAAAGTGGGAGAGGAAGGATAGAAACATTTGACAGTGAATCATCAAATTGTTAATTTTATTGAATTGGGTCACTCCTCCACTGGATCCTAACACTTGTGAGAATAAAATCATGCAAAGTCTGTCAACAATTAAACATAGTTACACGTGTCAATTTCTTTCAGAAATATGTATCTTGTTCATGTAATTATGTAAAGTTCAGAATTGCCATTATTTTTTTATGCCGTATTTTTTTCTTTATACGAAGAGCTGAAAGAGACTTTAAATTAAGTTGATTTCGATGTTAAAAAATCGCTAAGTGGAATCGGTGATCGATCGAACGTCTCTTATCTTATGTCGGCTCTTGTTCAGGTATTGCATAAATATACATGTATGAAAGTATACCGTTCGTACTTTTAAGTAGGAAGAAGAAATGAAAAATGGAAACAATGGTGAAGGTAAAGAATCGCAGCGATGCCTTGATGCGGCCATAACAATTGTTCTCGCTCGAATCGCCCCCATGGTATTATATTATTTCAGCATTAAGTCTATCGCGGTCGCTTGCATTCGACACGATCCTCTTGCCAAGACAATTAATTATCACGATGCTACGCGAAAATCTTTCTCGTTTATATAATGTACGAACAACACTTATGTATTAATAAAGGTTTGGAAATAAATTGGCTTGATTGCCTTATCCTTTATTCTAAAAGGATAACTTTACCTAGCCTAGTTTAATCACTCCGAGATCCTTGATCAACAATAGAAATTTGTAAATTGCAGATATACGACTTCAAAGACACCTGGAATTTTATAAGGAAATTAATTTGCAACAGAATTTCGCGTTTGGAATTCCGTATATTTTAGTTAAAGTAAATATTATTTCAACTCCCTATCCCCAGAACGATCTTGAATATTCCCTCTCTCAAAAAGGTGTGCAGTGAATTTTTTCATAACTACTGATAAATTCGTCCGATAAACCATTTTTTAGGTGAATGGAAAGCATTCTAGGGAACTAGAAATAATTGATACGTCAACAATTCTTAACGGTACCTTTTTTACAAAACAATAGTATACAGATATCTATAATATTTTTCATTTGTAGTAATTCGTGCTTATGATATTTACAGAAATACAGATCGCTGAGTTCGTGTCATAACATTTCTAAAATTCCCAGATCACCAACACTCGCCGCAGGTACACGATTAGTGTATTCCACTGATAAAATGATCGTATTGTTTAAAATATCACCAACGGATAAAACATGTTGAAAACGTTATATCTCAAATGCCACTTCGAGTCAGAGATGGACGACATTAGGGGCAGCCGCAAACACTAGGGTTTTTCGGCACCAAATTCGACTTCCCCATGAAAAAACACTAGATGTTTGCGGCCGGTCTAATAAATTGATTAATATCCTAAACATGCCAGGCTCAATTATTAATCATGACGGTAATATTTACGTACTATACTTACTTCCATCGTTAGTAATTGAGCCGTTGCTATTGATATAAATAGAATTCAACAATGACTATTGATGTAAATAAATAACGCTGTCTACCCTTCTCGAATATTGACGCAGAACATCAACTATGGCGTTGTTACCGAATTATTATCATACTTAATTACTAACCTCCACAATCCTTCTTTGTCCCAAAATTGGAAGTGTAAAAAACGTAGCAAACAGAAAAAGAATTGTGCAAAACTTTCACGTTTCCTGTCCAAAATGATATTCATAAAGATTGTTCGCATACGTATATCGTAACTTTATGCATTATAAACTGAAATTTATTTATATAGAATTATAAATTTCTTATAGTGACACACACCTACATTGTATAAAATCCAGTCTTAAATTCAACAAAATCTACCATCAATTTGAGTTTAACCCACTTGACATTCACTCCATCTCGTCCCAAAATAAACTATACGTTAAATACATTTTGCGAAATAGCAGCAGACCTTGCAAATTATTGAACATTCAAGCCACCTTTTGTGTCTGTGCAAATATCTTTTCGTTATATTTTACATTCAATGATACTCATTCAATGAGCCTCATTAAGACAATTGCATTTCCACCGTAGCGACTGATGGGCGAATTAAGGTTCTACGTAATAAGCGCATCTTCTTTGCAAAAATTGATCCGTGGAAACGTCAACTTGATAATGACACAGTTTTCGCCAAATGGAGAGCTGTTCCGATTAGATTGTTTCATTCCGAGTTTTCGGAAAAACAAACGCTGTTGTTCACCTAGTGATATTGGCCCCGGGGTCTATTGATAACTCTCGACGAGGGTGAGGATTTACTTTAATACTATAACACATTACCGCCGCACCACGTCTAAGCATCAAACGCTTTGAAAAGTTCACTAATCTGGAATCTCAATGTGCACACTGTACAATTTTCGGATAAGTCCGAAAGAGCTGTCGGCGATGAGATAATTCGTTTCGCGAGTCGTTTTAAATTCTGTCGTTGATGATCCTAGAACTTCACGAAGCTTTCCTGTAAATTCCTTTACATTCTTGCACTTATTTTTTCAGTTATCTTTTTCTTTACGTTATATCCCTTGGTAGTATGCGTCCTCTTACCCTGCATTTCAGAGTACCATTCACTGATTTTCATTACCGTGAAAATTGTTTATACATTTCTATTTTTAGTTCATCATTCTCGGCTCGCCATATGTTATGTGGAACGGTGAGTTATTTATTTTTGGGCATACTTTCACATATTCTTATTGGAATATTGAAACCGAGTTTGAGTACTGGAATATTGAACATTTCTTGCAAGTATGTACGTAAAGCGTATTTTTAAGTAAAGTGCTAAGTAATTGTTGATAAGGTTACTAAAAAGATAAGCCTTGCGAATTCGGTATTTTTTTATAACAAGTAAATCGTTTCGCAACTTCGTTATTAATTCAGTATGTGTAATGTCATACATATCATTCCGTTTGCCTGTACCATTATTTTAATTCGATACATTCGATTATGTGAAAATGCATATTCAAATCCAGTTTCAAATCTCGTTAGTCTTGTAGCGTTGTATGAGATTGCAGTATAAATGAATTGCTTAAACAATTACAATATGCCCAAGACCAATATGGATGTCGCTGTTCAATTATCCTTTTTTTTTTACGTGAATGTCGATAAATATTTCCAAATAATTCTAGTAATGGTTCAATACTAGTCCCGATCGGTGTGTGTAATTTGTTGAATCGTTTCCCTCGCGAGTTGTAAATATACTTCTTCTTTTATTATACTCATATCGTTCTCCTAGTACGTTTTTCAGGTCATTATTCGTACAGCAAATCAGCTTTCGGGACTCGTCGAAATCTTATCAGGGGCATTGTAAAATGACTACTTCGGGAATTCACCCTCAATACGCATGAAACTTAAGTATAAGTATTTTGTACAAATTCCAGCAGTCGGCTTTGGGACGGCTACTGTCTTATCTCATAAACTGTACAATTGCCACTTGCGAAGCGATGAAAATTACCTCCTCTAATACACCAAAATGTCGAGGAGAAACGTCCAACGTGTATTCGCGTTTTGATGCCATGATGGCATTGAGTTCATTGTCCATGTATGGTTTCTTGCTTATACTATACGTTGTTCTATCGATCACTATCGACTTCAAAATTGTTCAGAAACGTTTCACGAACCACGCACCCAGAATATCACTCACAGCAGAAGTCATTTATTTCGTAAAATACTGCAATCTTTGATAGCGAAATAAAGGGATCAAATAATAAACAATTGGTAAAATAATTGAAAGTACAAGAAAAATCTGGATTCAATCATTCTTCTTAGGTAGTAAAAAATAAAAGTGTATGAACTTTCCATTTGTTTCCTCATTTGTTCTTACACACAGCTTGATTCTCGATCGCTCTATTCTATCCTCGGACCGTTCGTAAATCTTCGCAATATGTGCTCCCAGGACATCATTACAGTGGGCCAATACTAACTCCTCTGCGGGAAACGCAACGTCAACGCAGGAGCGACTAAGGCAGTAAGTAAAAGTAGATGAAGCTTTCCAATAACGAAAGCTGCGGCCGACTTGGTCGGCGGATTCCTCGCTTGATCGTTCATCACGTCGCTGGAGATAGCGGCACTGTTCGGTTCCGCGGATGGACAGCTTATGGTCGTGATCGTGTCATTCATTGCAGCCTCTCTGGAGCAACGACTGGCATGATGAGCCAAACAGGCTGCGTAGGAAATCGCGTGTGGAATATAGCTCTGGTCGACGCTTCCGGAAAACAGGACAGTCGACAATGGCCCGGTCGCAAAAACCGGCACGTCTTCTCCGCCGTGGGTCGCCCAAGCTCTCGGTACACCTGCGGTCTGAAAATCAAACCGATATTAAGGTGATACCAAACTGGCCTCTGAAGCAACAAAATGTTTATAACATTTTTCTCCTAACGTGGGAAATACTCACCTGAATGGAGTCCTTTCCTGCTTCCCGGACGATGGACCTAGGCTCTGTGTAGCCGGGACCATTGCTGTACAATAACGTCGTGTAGGGTTTTCCATCCACGTCCGATACTTTACTGTCCGAACCTGCGCAAGTAAAAATTAATCTTAGACTAATATGATCAAAAACCGTTTACTTAAAGTGCAGAAATTACTAGCAACATATCTGAGGTAACCCCAAAAGCGATAAAAAGAAGTATATGTAAAATTCACTAAATAGCAACAATTCCAGCGTTGTGTATTTTCTTATGCCTTTAAAGTGTATGCCTAGACGTGCTTTTGGGGGCAAAAAGAGACATTTCATAAACAGTAATTACCCAGAATGGGATTTCCTCGATGAGTGGCCAGACCACCCAAAGTCAGGACGTGGGAGTGATCGGCGGTGACAACCAGCAGCGTTTCCGAGAGGTCGACCTCGTCGAGGACGGCCCTGACGGCCTCTTCGAGGGATAGGGTCTCGTCGAGGGCTCGGTACGCGTTGTTGTAATGGTGGGCGTGATCGATCCTGCCACCTAGAGCAATTAAATGTCCCTTGTACTTGAATTAAATGCCGCACCCGATGTGAATCGATTTATCGAAATCTGCTGGCTTTACTCTGGTTAAGCTACACATGGTCTAATGCGCGACTGTATCTGACAGGTGACCGTTTCGATTTGTGCAACCAGAATGTATAAATTACTATTATAATAAATTGTATTTTACTGTGAGTGTGAGAAGAAATTCATAACAATATATATATATATTATTTTACTTCGTCTCATATAAACAGTATTCTTCTTAAACGTATATTTTCTTGAGCCACATGTTCGTACATGAATGATCATGAACTTACAAAACTGAATGGAATTTAGGAATGAATTTAACTCTTCAATTCGTATCAATTTTTACAGTTATACTTAATTAATGTCCTATTTATAGGACAAAGCATTTCTTACGATAAAATGTGCAGTTTGTTAAGGACGTCGGGGGAGTAAATTGCGAACAAAGTCGGTCATTAACGCTCCATTTATGTAATTGCGAAATCACTCGTGAACAGCGAGAAAATTAATATGGCGGCTAAGAGAACCTTGGTCGCTGGATATTCTTTTTCCTGCGTCGCGAATAGTGCGCGTTGCAGCTTGTCTCGCGGATTTAATCTCGGACGAAAAGGGTCTCTGAAATTATCTATCCCTCTTTTTCTTCTCCTCCATTTGCACCTCCGTAAAAGCATAGACAGCATTTCCGGTACAGGCTGTCGGATGTCATAAAAGTAACGGTAGCAACGTAAAGCAAGCACATGACGCCAGTTTTGTTATTCAAATCTTTTGGGGGAATGAAACAGTGACTTCTTTGGATTCATGGTTCATGATTGATACCTTTTTGAGTATGACTTCTATTACGGTTTAAAAAGAAACAAATTGCTAGTCTCTTTGCGCTTACCTTCAACGAATAGAAAGTATCCCTCGGGATTTTTCGACAGAATTTGCAAAGCCTTGACCGTCATCTCGGCAAGGGATGGATCACCGCTCCCATTTGCATTCCTGTCAACGTCGAAGTCCATATGTGAATAAGAAAATAAGCCTGCAAACGATCAGAATATCAGTCTTTAACTTCAATTACTACGGTGTATGTATTTATACAATACATTTTTAAATAAAAAAAAGTTGGTTTTGAAAGGAGATATATTGATACTTCTGGGAATAGTATTAAAAATATTCTAGTTTAAATCGCACAATTGCCTTTTCTGGAATATTGTGGATATTTAAGGGATCGGAAGATATGAAAATGACCCAACCGTAAAAATGATTTTCATCATTTAGAAAAACAATTAATAGGAAAGTAAAACACGAAATGGATTAGTACCTCTCGAGTAAATTTACTGTTTTTTCTGTTTATGATCGAGAAGCACATATTTCGTTGAAAAAGAAAATGGCACACCTAGTAAATGGTTAACTTTCCGCGGGTCGACTTTCTCGAATTGTTCTTTATTGGTCACGTATTCTGCAGCGACGTTACGGAGGCGACGATTTCGCGACCATTCATCGATCAAATTTCGACCATCCAATCTTCTGCCATCTTTTTCTGGTTCTTCTGGATCCGTCGTTACTTTTGGAACGAAATGTCTCCTTCCTCCACCCAGAATGACCTAAATCAAATATAATATTCATATTGACGGTACACATAATATTTTACAAATAGCTATATAAATTAATGATACCTTGTTAAAAATATCTGTTCGGAATATAGCATACACGTAGATTAAATATTGAATATTGAAAAATCTATTTGAAGGTGCACTATTTCGAAATTTAATAAACAATTGTTTATAAACAGTTTTTCTTAGCGTAAATTCGGTTTCGCAGTACTTGTTGATGGCTCACCCGGATGAGCCAGGATTTTCGTTTAATTTTAATTTTAATTCATTCATTTGTAGATACAAAAAAAAATGTAAAAGATTTTTTTAATTTCGCACATGCTCTTATGAATACAAAATGCTACCTGTAAACAGATATAATCTTAAAGAAATTATGAAATTCCGTACGTTTATGTTGCGGCCAGGCTCGTCCTCTAGGAGCTGCCTGGCAATGTCCTTGCAGGAGGTCCTGGCGGCAGGAGGCACTTTCCCGTCGTCTTCCCAGTACCTGCTGGACGCATGTGCGTAAAGAGCTGCAGGCGTCGCATGCGTAACCCGGGTGGTGGTGACCAACCCCGTGGACTTCCCTGAAAAAGCGTGTCAATTTAAAACTCGCGTAAATACTTCAAACGAGGAAGCATTGCTTATGCGCGTTTTCATCAATCTTCCGATCTTTCCCTTTTTCTCACGGCCTCGATTTACAACACGTACATACATTCGACGCACCCCGTTCGTCTCTCTCGCTCCCTCGGTCGCAACGCTCTTATGCTAGAATTGCGGCCAATTCACTCCGATTTATCGCCTGCTTCAGTTAGAGCAAAACTTCCGTATCGGTCCTACTCCGTTGGTAAATACGCTAACGAAGGTCGCAGCAAAGTCCCGGCAAGGTTCTGCGTTACTCCAAGTGACTCCACTCGACGCCCAAATCGCGTTTTAATTAGGAAAGAGCAATGTCTTCGCGTAGGCTCCGAGGACTTTGCCGTAACGCGATAACGAATTAACTTGGGACACGTGCCAGGAATCTTCAGGGGACCGAAAGCGCATCGCCACTTCAAAGGGCGCTGCTACATAATAGCCGTTCTCTCGTAACTGGATCGACGACACGATAACCTCTCGAGCCGTTTTTCTTCCTCTTCTTCTGGAACAGGGAATTGTTACTGGGAGGAAACGGGAGATTGGTCGGGTCGATTTAAGAACACGAGGGGATCGCGGACGTGTCGGATCCTTTTGATCGAGTTCTTTCAGATGGTGAGGTACAATAGCGGACACGAATGCCTCCCGTGCAGATACGACATCGCCTGTGCAGGATGGGAGGGCATTGATGTCTCTCGGCGTACAAGCAGAAAATGCGTAGAGTCCCGACTTCATAGTGATGGTAAACAATAGATCAAGGTAAATGTTGCCTAGTCCAAATTGATAATTAGATACTGTCAGTTACACACTTGAAAGCAGAAGAAACGTATTATTTAAATATTTCCGTGATGATTATTTTGCAGAGGTCCTGCAACAAATTGATATGTAAATCGGATTCAAAATATATCAGGAAGATTAACCCTTTCGGTACGAACGCAGGATGTATTCCAACCGTTTTCGTCCGAATTTTGCCGAACTAATTTGTACGGCATGGGGTTAATTTCGCCTAGACAGTAAATCTTTCGCTCATTGTCCGTGATTATATATTCTAGATCTGTATACACTTAACATGGAAGGGTACAAGATATGTCAGCATAGTTATTAAGCAGATAATTGCAGGTGGTGAGCAAATGTTGAACATACATTGTACTTGCGCTTTGTACCCTTATGTCCGGTTTCACCAACCTCGGTTAAGTCATTGGTTACCAAAACGTAGGTTAAAATTAATGACCACGGTACTCATGGGTTCAAAACGTAAATGTTTCACCATATTTATTCAGACTGTGATTAACTAATCTTATACTCAATTCGAAGTGTGTTAAATTGACAATGAACGCGTTCATGTCATTGGCTGATTCTCTGATCGACTAGAAAACAAAATAGATGCGCCCTTGTCAAGGTACGGTATCCTAAAGTAGTACAGTTTAATGGTTAAGAATTAATATACAATATCCTCAAAAATACTTCGATAGTTAAAAAATGGTAAATAAAATGAAGGATATCATATGCAGTACAAGTTTAATGTTACATTCAATGTTTACTCACCACTTGTAATGTTTAAATTATTCTCTGCACGATGATAATGCAGACATATATTCTTTCTATGCAAGTGTTGTACATAGAAATGTAGAATATATAACGTAATCGACATATGATTAGTCTGGATACATTGGAGTATTATTGTTGATAGTCCTCAAAATCCGAGATTCAATCCGATCTTTTGCATCACCGTCTGCTTTGAATTTATACTCCATCTGCAACAAATAAATGTCTTACAAACAATAAATGATATCGAAATTAATTTTTTACCTATTGGTTTAGAAGGAATTAATAAACTACTAGGACATTGAAGAGCGTTTGAAATATATTTGACAAATGTATTATAAATTATCAAGAAATTAATATGCAGATTTTACGAAAAGGAGTAAAATCTAATAAAAAAACTCCTTACTGCGGAAATTAAAGGGCTTAAAAGACCAGATTTCCAAGGCGATATCGCGTCGTTGTCACGCACCCTTAACCCCTAACCGTGTCACCGGCAAGCGGCCAGTGATTAATCAGCTGGACAATCAATCTTAATAACCGTAGGTACAGATGTTGCATACGTTTCTCGTCAGATATCTGAAGGCATGTTATGCCACACATACAACCCGCGGGGGTAAGTTGCACGCCAGGAACGCGTTCGTTCTATGTCAAAACATTGCCGATACATCCGCGATGCTCCGTCATGAAAATACGAAAATGACGTTTTTATCTGCTGGTCTGCCCCAGAATATCTTTCCCGTGATCAAAAAACCGTCGTTCAATCATAATTATACCATAAATATAAAATACTTATCAGCTAGCGCTGACAAGTATTCTTGAATTACTCTTTATTTCGGGCTCTACCATGACTTCATAAATCCCTAGTAGCATAGAATAATTTCTAAATATTTCTTAGTAATCTTTACTATATATCTCAAGCGACAGATTTTATGTATAATATTATATATCTTACATATGTTCAATAAACATTTATATACGATTAATTTACGGATATTTCACGTTCCACGGTGCCTGGGAATGTTGAGAATTGTCGGACACGTGATCGCATAACTTTCTACCTTCCTTAAAATGAGTAAATTATGCTCCAAAGGTTTATTTGCCTATTTTAGGCACATCTTGTGTAAACATATTTCGCATGTTAAATAGTTTGGAGTGGCTTTGCATCACTAGGGGATTCTTCCAGTGCAGATAGAGAAGATTATATCATTTATATTAAACGTGTATTGACTATAAGGAACTAGACAAATTATTTCAAGCTGCGATAACATTTTTTGTATTAAACGGGCTACGTACATAGAATGAGATAACGCAATGACAAGTGTATGAAAAAAAAAAAGAAGTTCAAGTCCTGCAAGTAGAATCTACATCCAACTCCATGCCTCACTTCTAAATGCAATGCCTAATGAAATTCTGAAGCTTCAGCTGAATGCCAATAGCGTCAGTTTGCCATAGGAATGCCAATTACAGCGAACGCCAATCTGTATGTCGGGTCATTGTACATGTCCGCCACGTGGATGCATTATGAATCTACGATACATCAACCACCATTTACTACATATTATTGCATTATTGGAATTGCCAGTAATAGATAACGGCGCTACAAATTTGCGGGTTCTGATAAAAATGATTAATGTGGTTTCTAAAGGCAAATGCAGGGCCAGAATTCTCACCTTACCGCAATAGTAACTTTCTCGCACTAAACCGTAGTAAAGTAAAATTTGATAAATGCTCTACGATCCAAGCTGTTCGTGCCTAAGATCAGTTTAAAGTTGCAGGTTTCAAACGTGCTAGAGATTTTGGAGTCCAAAACTTGTAGGAGTTGCGTTCAGGAATTTAACGAGTTTTCAATCGAACAGCATATCTGAATTCGAACGATTCTCCTTGAGTAGAGAATGTAGAAATTTACGAGGGGGAACTTCCGAAGCTACTGGAATTGTTTAAAGTGGAACGTGTACTTCCCCGATCCCTTGGGCATTGAAAGACAACTTTCCGAAAAACAAACTATGAGAGTTTATTCAAATTTAATTTTGTATGTCTGTATGTGAAAACCATTAAGAAATCTATTCAACATCGACAAATAATAATTCTGTATTGTGCGGAATTAATTGAGAACAAAAAAGTGAGCATGTGTAGAGTTGAGAGTTTAGACGAATGAGGACTTCGATTACTGGACAAATGATTTCTGAACTTTTTTGCTACACTTTCCCACTGATTCAGTCATTGACTCACCTTGTTGCTGGGCCCATTTAATGAGTGATGGCACCTTGGCATTGAAGCTGGAGTGACAATTTTCGAAACGAGCCGACGAATCCAGTCCAACGGTTTCGTAATTTGCTTTGACACCACATAGCAAAGCTGTTGCACAAGCGGATGACTCTCCTACTTGAGCGTCCATATTGTACGTCTGAAACAAATGAACGAAGAATTTCAATGTCATTCATACAATTACCATGTAGACGTTTGCAATCATGTACTTGCACAAAATCAGATACCAGGTCTCACGAGGACCACTCATGAAGTAAACCTCTCCAATTTAGTTGAATTTTTGATATCCCGTAGAAAAACGTATTCTAAAAGACATGTATTTTTTTATACGTGCGGTTTAAAAAGGTGAAGCTACCCACTAAAGATGGACTATATATAGATTATATCATCTTAGTTGTGAATGTCAGTTCCTAACCACCGTAATTAGCATTTCGGATGGCTTTGAAAGGGCCGCTGGGGAACAAGCGGATACTTAGGTGAGGCTTCATGGGTTCCGGGGTGTGTAAACGCGCGCGTGTCTACGAGTAATTGCCATAACCATTTGGGAATCGGCATAATTAACCGATTCGAGCGTCGAACTCAATCGCAGGAATCGTCACCGCGTTGAACTGGATCCTGGGCATTCGCCGGCGAATAAGCACGGCCGAGTGATCGTAAATTCGCGCCGGTGAAACGCACCGCCTAATGTGATTTTGATGGACTATTTGTGTCGAGCTATCGCGCCCGGAATTGATAATGGCGACTGATTACGACGCGGTTGCATCGTTAACAAACGCGCCGACTCGCATGCCCTTGTTCTCTCGAACAGCAGCGCGGTTGCCCTTCCTTCTTAATAGAGCAGTTTCGGAATCCACCCTTACAGGAAGTAACGGAACAAAGGGCAAAGGGTTCGTTTGTCCGAACGAATTACAGAGCGAACTCTCAATGTCGATGGCCTCAGGCGTTACTCCAGAAGCTCTCTTTTGTGTCCGCGCGCAAACGAAACTAAATGGACGGATGAGTAAATAATGATTTCAACAGGACTGCTAGAGTACGCTATTCGAAATATGAGAGCTGGACGCCATTTTGGTGCTGGTCTGGGTGGAGTTAAAAAATTCAAAAAAAAAATCCAAATTTTGAATGGGTCAGGACAATTCTTAGATGATCAGGAGGGATGTGTCAGTTTCGGACAGTTTGGTCTAATACCCTTAAAAAAAAGTGTTGTATTCGAATCGACTGATTTGAAGGGGGTTTCACTCCACCTTAACGACGCGACGGAACACGTTCAAAACCTATTACTGTAAAACAAGTGAAAATTGTATGAAATGTAATTTTTAGAACTTCTTCTTTTAAATATCCTTTAGTAGCATGGTGGAAAAGTTGCTTCTGTAATGTATTAATCAGGATTCGCTAAGGCGCAAATTAGGTATAAGGTTTCCGTTTGAACGGAAAATTCACACAAAATTCCCCTTGAGTTCAGAAAATGTGTTGGAGATTTTTCCGCATGATATTTCCCAATATTGCTATTCTTTGAATGGTTGCGGCAAAATCGAGGAGATACGAAGTGTCGATAACACACATCGAGAAATGCGAGATAGTATCGAGACCGAAGTTAATCTTTCCGTTCTCCGATTGAACCTGTGCCAGAAACGTTTTTGTTCAGCCGGAAGAAAATCTTATTTGCCTGAATATATTCCATTTCTAATTCAATTCTAAGTTTTCTCTTTGCGCTAATACTTTGAATCCGATTTCCATTTTTTGGCGAAAATTTTAAGTTGACACACCATGACACTCAGTTACATACAGTGTTACATAACCATATGTGGTGGAGTAGATGATTAAATGGAATTATATTTAATTCTGTATATTTATTTTCTCTTCGGCTTGATTATTCGAGATAATGAGATATCTGACATGACCACGGTGACCACGATAAGAGCATCCTCTGATAACTGGTGGCACTCATTGGAAGACAGGAGTGCCGTGCGATCGCATCGGCTATAAAAAAGAACTTTTGTTCTCGCTGCGTTCTCTGTGGGAACAATGGCTTCTCGGACATTTTCAAAGGAAAGGCAGGAAGTTAACAAAGAGGAAACTAACTCGACTTCCGGAAGCCGCGTCTCCGACGTCGCTGGTGTCAGTGAGACTAACGTGGACGGGTGGCCTTTCAGAAAATCGAAGTAAGTTCGACAAGTCGCTTCCATCTTTCCTTAACGAGCAAGTGAAAATGATTTAATGAGTGACGTTTCAATCGCTGAACAAAAGCTGATCAGCAACTGTATGATAAATAATCAATGCAGGCTCCGGTTACGTATGACAAACGAGTCACCCACGTGAAGTTAACTTTTTCGGTTTCCATTAAATCGATAGCAACTAACGAATTGGCTCGAATTTCAACACGAATTAAAAAAAAACAAAATCGACCGTACAAAGTAAAAATGGAGATGTACATGAGCGGAATTCCCTATTTGGCATACCCAAATGGGAAAGTAAAGCGAGCTTCCTTCGGCGATGGATCGGTTCCGTTTGACGAGTAAGTCGCAGCCGTTGGTTCTTTTTCCGCGGGTCCGCGAAAACCAAGGCGAGAAAGCCATCCGGATTTATTTTCATAACCGCGGATTCCTGGCCGTACTTGGGATAGCTCGGCGCTTCGAAGCACAAAGAAAGGCTCTGGGTGCAATGCCGTCATATCTGCAACACCTCGGCACGACTCTCGACGGGCGTTTGTCTCACAATGCACTCCGGATTTTCCCCTCGCGTTTACGAGCGGTCTCGCAAAAGCTCCGGCGAGGGCTTTGTGAATTTCTCGTACATCCGATTCGACTTTGCGGGAACCTCTAGGTTCGCTTTACACGAAATTTCGTGCGGCACGACGGTTGCTTTCGCTTTTACGGTCTTCGCTTGCGCTCCCGTCGTCATTCAGCCCTTTTCCCCTTTTTCGCGAAGCGTCATCACGAGATCGAAAGGAACCTTTCGGACGTTGTTTGCTGCGACTTCGCGGCATAGCTTTCATCTTAACGATCCCGCAAATCGTTTAACGTCCTGCTTGATTTTCGCTATTTTATTATCGACATCGGTTGCGCGGTCTTAAAGTGAAATGAAACCCCCCTCAAATCAGTCGATTCGAATAAAACACTTTTTTTGAGGGTATTGAACCGAACTGATCGAAACCATGACAAATGACACGTGAGAACTGAAGAATTATCCTGAAACTTTCAAAATTTTCATTTCCGCAAAAAAATGTTTGACTTATCCTAGACGAGAAACAAAATGGCGTCGATCTTTCATATTTCGATCGATACGAGCGAAGAGCTCCCTAGAGATGTTACTCTCAATAGTGTTTTCCTTCCTAAATTGGATTTTTAAAGTTCTGCGTCAATCTGAGAAAATTCACTTTATGACGTTCTAAAGTCGGAAATCGTGAAATTTGGCAGTCGTCGAAGAAAGTTTGGATTGGGATATCGCGGGTCAAGAGCTCGCGGAGAAGTCGCAAATGGAGCAAGCAAAGGGTTCCATCGAAAGCTTGCTTCCCTGAAAGGATGGTCGCGAGAAAACCCAGGAGATCGAAAAAGGATCTTTGGGCATAGAGTGCCTTTAAAGAAGCAGAACGTTCAAAAACGTTTTTCCCAGGACTCGGCAAGAATCGGCGGAAACCTCTAGGGAGGAAAATATGAAAAGGCAATTATGGAAGGAAATAAAAGGGATTCTCCGTTTTGCAAAGCGCCCATTTCCGTATCACAGCAGTTGGTTCCGCTCCGATAAGCTACCACTGAAATCGGACAAATCTTCTCGGAAAACTCGTGGACTTCGGGACTTTGCTTCCTTCGTTGCTCTATTTATTGAATGTCAGTTTTGGAATCTAAAAGACTTATGATAATTAAAATGTCCTCTCTTTTGTGTGCGTACTTCCAATTGCCTTCCAATCGCCTCAAAAAAACATTAATAAAGTCATCCCATTTTTCAAATATATTTAACACCGAAAGTCTTGAGACGTGGATGCAATCTTCCCAAAAGAAACTTTTTGAAGACTTTGATTACTTTCAGATGGTGATTTTCTGTTCGTAGGTACGAAACAGACTTCAAATCCACGAAGGCGTCCACAGGCTCGGTAAGGATAGATGTGGATTCCGAAGTTTACGACATGAGCCATGATAGACGGGGAGTGGCGTTGATCTTCAATCATGCTCACTTCAAAAGCATGCCATCAAGACCCGGCACAGTAAAGGATTGCAAAGACTTGGAACGGACGTTGACCGATCACGACTTCGAAGTCCGCATTTATACAGATCCGACCATCGACACCATCACCACTGCGCTCAAGTCCAGTAAGTATCTTCAATTTTACCTTGACTTAGCTATTCCCGAGTTGAAATATAAAGTTCCGCAGCACGTTTGCCGTACGCTCGGAACATGTCCCTAATTCCGTAGCGAGTCCGTAACACGTCCGAATCGTAACATTAACCCCTTGCCTTAGGATTTAAATTCCAATAGCGGGTGCCACAAACAACAAAAATGTTGGTCATACATCGAGCCATTTTACGATTTGGCTGAACGTTCAAAGTCTCGTACGTTTTACGTTTGGCCCATTGACATACCACGTCTCACACGTTTTGTTCACGTTTGGCCCGATTGATATACCACTCTCACACGAAATTGTAGGTGAAGAGGTTAATCTACCGAAGGACCACGTTAAGTCCGATGTTAGGTCTTAGGGTTCTTGGCTCAGAAAGATCAGGCGATGCTCACTGTCGGAGTTACGTGGGACGTTGAAAGGAATTAGCCTCTAAATGGTTGAAACCAACCAAAGACTTGGTCGAGTTCAAGTACAACAATGTGGTTTATTGCGGATGGTTCGACTCTTACACGAGTACGCGAGTTTCAGAGACAAAGTCGCCGTGCTTGGAATATTGACTGCTTAACTTCTGAGCTTCTCAGACTAACAGAAACGAAACGCGCTTACCCGAGTTATTCTATCAAATATCAGATGTAACAACGTATGTAACAAATTGAATGCGGGAGAAAAACGACAGGACCGATAGATTAATGAGCTTCGCGGGAATTAAATTGGCCCTCTAACTCTCGGTAGACCGATTAGCTTTGATTTTCGGCAAAACGACGTTCAAAATCAGCGTGAGAACCTGATAGTGCCAATATGCACTGCACGCTCGTGTCCATTGCATTAGTCACCGAGACGCGTCGCTCGGCCGTATGTAACACCGCGCATAGACTCCGTGGGTTTGGCAAACACGTTAATTCTGGAATACGGTAAATACGTTAAAGCGTTCAGTGGCCCATTATCTGCGACGACATCGCAATTCGACAGATTTTAAATAATTGATTTTCCCAATGCACCACACGCAATACTAGACTCCTTGTCGATAAACGTTTTCGTTAGTGCTGGTGCTCTCTCAGTGAATTATTTCATAATTGTATTAAAAATATGTCGTAATGCTGAATTAATCATTGAAGATAGAAATTAAACTTTGTTTCCTGTGTACCGCCAATGGATCGTGTTAACGATTATTCACTTTGCGTCAGTTTTTACGTAGAATCTTTGAAAGATTCAAAGTAAACGTTTATACAATTAAAATATTTAAGTAGAAAAAATGAAATTATTCCATCTGTTTCTATTAAAAGGACGATAAAGTTAGTATCTGGGTTAAGTTCGCGTTGCAGACGGAGATTCACAATCTGACAGGATTTCGCGAAGAACTTTTCGCCGGATTTAATTAAAAGTTTTATTGCAGCTGCAGCTGAGGATCATACAGATGCCGACTGCCTGGTCGTGGTTGCAATGTCACATGGGGAGTCGGGACTATTGCACTCGTACAACACGTTATATCCCGTGGAGGTTCTTTGGAAATTCTTTACTGCAGACCGGTGCCCATCTCTTGCCGGGAAGCCAAAATTAGTTTTCATTCAGGTGACGAATCAGTTGTAGCGGTTAGTCTCAACCCTAGTAGCACAAAATATTTGTCCTATATTCTCAATATATTTAACGAATATCGTAATTCATTATAAACGTTTTAAATATTTAAAATCAAATTCACACGTTTCGCTCCCGTAATGAAATAGCGGAACGAAAATATTAGACAAATTTTTCGTGTTTTTTGATTGATTGACCAAGAGAGGAAATTTACGCCAGACTCGGGATCGAGCTTCTACTTTAGTGTCGACGAAATTAGATCTAATGGAAAGCTACATGTCATTCTAACAGGAGTTAAGAAGGATCGCAAGGTTTGCTCTCAGTGGAATAAGCCCGACGAAAGACATCAAACAACATATTACTGCAATAATTGCCCCAAGAAGCGAAAGATGTATCTTGGCGATTGTTTCTTCTTTCACATGCAAGGATACATAAAATATTAAAATATTAAAATATAACAGTTTTATACGTTAATTTTTATGTGAAATCATTTTAAGTTAGCTGGGTGGAATTCACCAAATATGCAGAAAATCGTCTCGAGTTGCTGGTTCGTCCAGGCGAAAAGGGCCTCGAGTGCAAAGGGTTAAATTGTTGAAAGTTAAATAACGAAAGAGGATGTAGAATCGTTGACTCAACCAGTATCTCTAGTGAGGATATTCCCTTTCCAGGCTTGCCGAGGGGATCGCCTTGACGATGGGGTGACAATAATTCACGAGACGGATGGAGCAGCTATATTCAGCATCCCTACCTATGCGGATATTATGATCGCGTACTCGACCTACGACGGTATGTATGTAATATGCATGTACCCAGGGTAGGTATAGATACCCTTGCTTTACATAGGTAAGCACAAATATCCCTCGATGAGCCCCGGTGCCCATAGGTACCTTCTAATAAGCCCATTTACGTTCCGTCTATAGAATTTGCACAACCAAAGGTTTCTGGCCTTAACCCTAATTTGAATAAACTTATACAAAATCGTTCCGAAAGTACAGCGGTATATTTTCCTTATAAACAGAACGACACGGATACCGGACGAGATGAAATATGTAAAAATATCTAAAATAAATTTAAAACAGGTAATGAAATATTTGAAGGCCCTAATTAACTGCAGCGGGGTACCCAGCGCCAGCTGTGATTTCCATGTCAAATAAATGTTCATTCCGAGACCTCATATTACCATCGTTTTAGCATAGCTGCGAATAAGACACTTTTTTTGCCTTTATCCTAGTCGATTTTATTCGAATCGACTGATTTGAGGGGATTTTACTTCATCTTAAACGAGCAGGCGTTCTGTTTTCTTTTCCGTTTGCGAAAACATCGGTTTCCGGTGGCAGCGCACTTCTTCTCTTTTCTTTTGTAAATACAGATAATACACGGTCCTCAGCTAGTTTCTTTGTCTATTTTTCGCTCTGGTGTTTATTGGAGTAGATCGGGATAAAAGGAAAAAAACTGGCCGGAGCTTCTTCCCGTCTTCCGATTGAATTCATTGATGTAGAGAAACAAATTGCCCACTAACTCCGTCGGAAAGTTAACGCGGAGAGGAAGTATCCGGAATGGAATTTACAGTGGATCGTAACGGGCTTGGAGGGGAAATAAAAGACTACATTCCCGTGATGGATCGTATGATTGAGAAAATGGGAACCAGGGTTGGGTAATTCCCCATTTTTCGAGGTTTCGACGTATATTACGTAAAACAGTAGTTTACTGTAGGAAACCAGTAAATTACGTTTCCAATATGAAGAACACCGAAGATGGACGATCTACGACTTCTGCTAGGTTATAAACGTCTTTTAAGCACATATGTAAACACGGAAATATTTTAAGGAACAATGAATTAATTTAGTGCTTGTATTGAAAATTGTTTAGAATTTTACGTTTTCAATATGGCGGGTTCCGCAGATGCATGATATATGTATTCGAGAGGTTAACATCTTTTATTTATACATATAAAAACGTAAAAATTGTTAAGAAATATTTGATCTGGCGTCTGCGTTCAAACCATGTATATTACATGACGTATTATACTTACTCAACCCTGACGGAACGAACAGTGGAAAAAAATTAGACCGTTGTCTGTTTGAAAGTTTGCCGAGGCCTTTTCCTGGCGGAGGAGCCAGGCGAACTTTTTCAATCGAACAACCCAGCCTCTTCCAACTTGGCCGAGTCAATGAAAGGAAGTAAGTTCGTACCGTAAGTCCGAAATTCGTAGATTCCGAATTCAGCAAATTGAAGAGCCGTTTCATGAACGTTTGCCAATCTTCCGCGACGTGAAAAGGCCCGTTCCTTTGAGACTCAAAAATCTTTTGAATAGAACTGACTTCAGAGACCAAACTTAATATCAACACCGCCAAAAATGGGCACACATCTTGTGATTACATCGTGTACATCGACAGGGTGAATGCATTACATACGATACCTCATCGAACGCCCAACGACGAAAACTTTGCGAAAGAGATTCGTTTTCCTATCACGAGTTTATTTCTCGAGTTCGTTTCATTTCATCTGGCCATAAAATATTTCCGATTCCAGATAGAATAAGGTAATAAACATTTTATGGTACCTTTAACCAAGTGAATCTGGACTCGATATATATATAAAGATATAAGAAGGAATCGAAGAACTCTTTTAAGGCGATGTGAAAGACTGTTTTTACCGACCAAATTTTCCTCAAATTAATATTATATTTATACGATGTGTACTTGCGATTTGTGAAATTCGGAAAAATAATTGACAGATTATTTATCCGCAGTTTGCAATATAGGAAGGTTCATTAATTTCTCCATTTACGTACTTAGCAAAGATGACAAAGAAATATTTAGAAATTATTCTATGCTACCAGAGTGTATATGTCTAATTTGCCGAAGTGGAAGTTCTTGATGCGTTTCTTTCTTCCTGAGGTGTAAGCAAAACTAACGAAGGCAAGAGCCGAGCAGGCATTTTTCGTGAAATAAAGGTAGACGTCGAGGGAAAGAGAAATGAGCACCCTAGAGAATCCAACCCCGGCAGGAGAAAGTTCTCCTTTAAGGCCTCCGGGTTCGACAGCGGTCTGCTCTTGCTTTTTTATTTTCTATACCATGGTCTACGTGTAGGAGGGATTTTCATTGTTAAACCGTGTCCCGTCGATCGACACGTTCTGTGACTGTGCGTCCTGGGAGAGCTGACAATTTCGGAAACGAGGATTGCGTCCTATTCACCAGGAGTGGCGAGCAAGTGTCAGATTGAAAAATAGAATCGTCGCATCCGTAGATTTTGCGACTTCCGTTCTTGGGTACTTCCGGCCCGGAAGAAAGCCCCGGAAGACTTCCGAGGTGTTGGCCGAACTTGGAAAACCTTCGCTCGCCTGATTTTCTGTTAACGCAAAACTCGAATATTTATAGGAACCGGCGATCTGACGCTATTCCATATTCAGCTTCTTTTTGTTATCGGAAAAGATTTGCATATTCCCAAACACTGGTAACATGATTACGGGACTTCGTTGACAATTAAAGAAATGCAGTCTCTCTAAATCTCACGTTATTGCAAAGGACCGATATCGCTGTTTATGAAGTGATAAATTCATTTTATATTATAAAACACTTTTTTTTAAGGGCATTGTACCAAACTGTCCGAAACTTTGACACATGACTCGCGATCATTTAAGAATTGTCCTGACACATTCAAAACGTGGATTTTTGAGAAAATTTTTTAACTCGGCCCAAACCAGAACCAAAAAGAAACCAGACAGAAATTTTGTAATAACTGTATGGATGTAAATATGTATAATGAAAATCTTTTCAGGGTTCTTTTCGTGGCGCAATCCTACTGCTGGGTCCTGGTTCATTCAATCCATTTGCAACGAGCTGAATCGCAATGGACGAACGCGAGATCTCCTGACCATGATGACTTTTGTCAACCGACGCGTGGGCCTTGAATACGAATCATTTGTTCCACATAAACAGAGCATGCACGCCAAGAAACAAATTCCATCGGTTGTTTCAATGCTAACGCGACTGGTTTACTTCCATGAGAAAATTATGTTTCGGGAAAGTCATGGGAAAGTCGAAGACGTTACAGAACATAAGTAATGTAAGTTTCCAGAGGGTTGTAACTATTTATTTTGCAATAAAATGGAAGGGAGAGATTTAGAAGTTGTATGCTCTTCACGGCACTTTCACACCACCTTAAATGCAATAAATATGTATTTAATTGGAAAAATAAGATGGATTCACCTGTACCCCATCAATTTCTCTGTCGTGCTCAATTTAATGATACAAATATAATAATTATACGTAGTTCGCAGAAAACAACCCTCGTAAACGTTTCGATAAAATGTTCAATCTAATCCTAATAAATTAAACAAACAGACAAGTAAATAAAACGCGTTCCATATTCGTAATTCACGCAATGTCTATATTTGCAATTGATTTCAATGATAAAGTGGAGCGAATCATATTTTCCAAAATGTCATGATATATGAAAACGAAATAACGGATCCTAGCGTCACGTTTCAATAAAGCTTAGGAGAGAGAATGGTCGAATGAAATATCGTTAATTTTCCCCGAATGCTTTCAGAGTAGAACCAGTCGTAGAGCGCGGTAACAAAGGTAATATTTAAACCACTCGTCCAACCGGAGATTAATTTCCTCCCCGGGTAGCCCTTTCAAGGAGACGACAACTCCACCAAATGGAGCCGGGCGTTCGAAGTTTGCCGTTCGCCTTTGACTTCCTTTTCTTTCGGAACCGTTCTTTCTATTTTCCAACACCGCGGTGGGAATCCTTCGGGCAAACTGGAAAAAGGAGATTAGCGTTGCGGTGGAACAATTTTCATAGTAATCTCCCTGAGAGAAAAATGCCATTCCTGAAAGAATCATCAATCCGCGATCGAATTAGTATCCCTTTCAGTTTTTGTCGACCGTCTCTGTGCATGTTCCTTCTTGAAAAACTTTTTTGAAAAAAATTTTGACATTTTGAAAAACGCCAGGAACTCTTTCTTGATATCTAACGGAATGCGGTTCTAAATAAAACAGTGATCCCTGCATACGTTATCGGCAGATGTCTACCAGGAAGCTTTTAAAGTTCCACTAGGGAATAAAGTTCCGGTGCCACGTTAGAAGGTGTATTCTCCCTAGTGGGAACCTCTCTCGCTCGTCCATATTCTCGAGTTTACATCTCGCGTCAGCTCGAAAAGCTCGCTTTTTTAATTCGCTCCCTCGAGGCTCAAGCCAGGAGCAACTAGTATGATTGGTTGCCCTGAGAAGACTCGTGAAGTTTCCAGAAGGTTTATCGGGGCTCGGCGAAGCATTAAATCGATGAGGAATGAGCGAAAGAAGCGAAAATCCAGAGTTATCATGAAACGTTACAATTATTGCGATCACTTGAGATCCAGCTGAATAAGTTCGAGGAACGGCCAGGATTTCGATGCATCGGATGTATTCCAATTAGAAGATCGAGAATAACAGGCTGACGAGTTCACAACGAAAAAAACAACCGATTTTTTTTTATCTGCCATTATCCAAAGTAAGGCATGTCAAGGGGCGATTTGGCAGTTTCACCCACAAGAGCATAATATTTTTTAACCAATCCACCTGAAAAAGCTTTCTTGTAACGAGAAATGAAAAATATAATTTTCTCAATTAAAAAAAAAAAGAAATTAATTACGCGAACAATGAAGTAAAGCGACGAACCATGAAATAAAAAATTGGCAAAAGACCCTTCCTTGTTCGCACGGGCGTCGAGGAAGGGCGAGGTTATTTCAATACAGAGGTGCAATCTCAAAGGCTGAAATGCAGTGAACCTCAAGGACCGCGTACACTTCCACCCCTCGTTCTATCGCACTTTTGTTTACATACTATATCACAATACTCGGAAGACACCCTCGAGGTTCTAATTTGAGTGGATGCTGCGTACCGAGAATGTGGCGTCTGTCGTCTGGCAGGGCGGAGCGGGTAGCGCGATAGGAATAACTCCTCTTCCCTCTCGTATCGCTCCTGAGAGGGTGGAGTCGAAAGGTGAAGGCAGAGTGCCCTGCCAGGAGAGCCCAGGACGGGGGGTGTCGCGAGCACGACGAGAGGAAGGACGATAGCTCCCAGAGGAGGCCTTAACATCTCCCTTCGTGTTAGGTGGAACGTAACCATGTCTGTCGACCGTGCAACTCTTTCGTGGCACCGAAATTGAGGAATCACGACACACTGCATGTCGCTCTTAAATTCTCTCGGTGTTTGAGATTTAAGGTGATATTTTCGAACAGGCCATCAATCCCAAAGAAAGATTTTCTCCACGATCATGAAGACGTGTCCTTTTAATTTCTTTCTAAACCTTCTTGAACTCGTACAGGACGTTTACAACTAAAATGGCTCACAGTTTGTGTCTAAAATTCATATTTCATCCCTAAATCCTCATCCAACCTTCTCCCCCTAAAAAGTCAAGCTAAAATGAACAGGCAACCTTCTAGAGCAGGCCATCAATCCCAAAGAAAGATTTTCTCGACAATCAGGAAGACGTATCCTCTCCGTATAGAGAGCAGATAATACCAGGCGATATATTTCACTCAGATGGAGCACCACAATTACGATGGGGCGTAGAAGGCAGCATCCAGAAAATAGAAAACGGTTGCCGTGGGATGCGAAACCGGAGATGCTCGGAGGAGCCTCGGGGAGGGTGTAGGTCGATGTAGGTGAGGTCGATGCACACGCGCCGGCAGAGGTGCAAGCGAAAAGAGAGAGCCTCGCTCTTTCGAAGAGCGGTACGTGACGTGCAAGCGTATTTATTACTCGCTTGTAAATTCTAATTTAAAGGGATCTCCTGCGGCGCGGATATTTTGAAGGGTGTAAGCCAGCACCTGCATTTTAACCGAGGCCCGAGCCCGAAGGCGCGAAGAGACCAGACGCCCTGGGAGCTCGTAGGGAGCTTTCTCGAGGCTTTCCCCCCAAGAAGCTGCCGAGCAGCTCAACGAGGAAAATTCAACCGCAGGGAAACCCGCGGAGTTTAGTCCGCCAAAGGAAAACTTTCTCGGGGATACCATCAAGAGGCGGGATGCGTTTGATGGGCGCGCCGAAGGATGGGACGGAAATTAAAGGAAGTCGAGGGAAAGGCTCGAATCCTGTCGGGAAGCTCCTCTTTTTTGATGCTGCTCCTTCAAGTGAAATGTGCCTATGGACTAGGCGTTTATCTACCGCAGTTTCCCTGCGAATAAAAACCTACGTGACCTCCTTTTCTTATTCCCCTTTTCCAGATATGTCATAATAAGAAATATTTTTCTAGAGGTAACAATTTTCCAGCTTTTATTTCTACAATTAATTGTAACGGTTCTCTATGATCGAAACTTGGTACGTATATTAAGTAAACCTTCCCCTGAAAGACAGCTTACATTTGAATGCTTCAAGATCATCTGAGCGAAAGTACGGTTTGGTAATGCCCTACTGACTTCGACACTAATGCCATCTAGCGGTTGAAGTCATCGGTCTCATTTTGGTGGAGAACGTTAAATACATATTCATGAAAAATTGATGTTTGGGTATATTTCCTCAAGAACACTTGACTTTTTCAATATTCCTTCGTGCATTTAATTTATAATAATTATTTGAATAATTAGTTCGCGTCCATACCTGCATAAGGTGAAACATTGGCGGGTTAAGGGTGTGCTTTAAGCTCAATGGTGTCTCGGCAAAAAGTTCACCGTCATCTTTTCTTGACTTATACCATAGAGTCGGAGAGTTCACGCGTACCGGACGTGAAAAGAGACGTTGAAAACATTTTCCCGGCGCCTCTTTAAAAATGAAGTAAAAAGGAAACCTCGAGTATTTCGTATGGGCGCAAAAAGGAATAAATGTATGACGCGGGGATGAATGAAAAGGTGATTTGTCAGGTCATGAATCATAAACTAGGCGGAACGCATCGTCGAGTGGGCGTGCGGACGGCTGCAAGCTCGTTTAGAGAGGAGCTTTCAACACTCGAGGTTTCAAGCTGACACTTCGAGGCCAAGAAATTTCCAGCTGCCGTTAGCCGTCACCACTGCGAGCTGCCCTTTTAACCAACTTTAATCAACGAGAAAATTCTCTACGCTTTAAATACAATTTTCATTAATTTCAATATGTGCCCTCTCCCTCAAAAGTTGTTCCACTTCGCTTATCACGGTGACGTATAATAATAAATTATATTTCATGGACATATTTAAGAAATTTAATGTCAACGAAATCATCACAACTTAACAAATATACGAATTAATGTGTATACGAAAGTAAGTACAAGACATTTCTATAATAACGTATCAGCAATTTATATGATCCCTAGTAGCATAGAATAATTTATAATCGTTTGTTTGTAATTTTAGATTCGTCCAGGCTGTATAACATATCATTAATTTGTATGATGTGCATTATTTTGCTATTAATAGACCTCCCATTTGCTTCCTCAGGTATGAACACATACGATACATTTATTTTGCAGCATACAATTAGTCGATGGCTCTGCTCCAAAATACTTTTAGATCCGTCCAGGGTGTATAATATATCAACAATTTGTACGAGGTGCTTTATTTTGCTAATAATAGACCTCTCATTTGTTTCCTCAGGTATGAACACATACGATATATTTATTTTGCAGCGTAAAACGAGTCGATGGCTCTGCTCCAAAATACTTTTAGATTCGTCCAGCGTGTCCCAATACATCTTCCAAGTCGTTCTCTCGAGCTGTTTGCAATTCGTTCGAACGTGAAGTGCGAAATGGAGGAGCGGAGTCAACCTCGTTCCTTTTACCTTTTGCCGGGTCACTCGGAGGGGCTTTAAGACGTGGACTTTCTAGTAGTGTCGGCTCGAAAAGCAGGGGATGCAGTTGAAGCTGCAGACCCGGGAGGACCAGTCACAGTCAATAGCAGCTGTACGTTCCTTGACCTCGAAGTGTCGCCTTCGAAACTCGAGCTTTGAAAGCTCCTTCCTTAAAGAGCTTCCACCCATCTGCATGTCTGCTCTACAATGCGTTCCGCCTAGTTTGTGATTCATAGCCTGACATATTACCTTTTCACTTGATACGCCCCGCGTGTATTTATACATTTATGCACCAGTCATTCATTTTACATTCCTTAGGGTAACCGAATTAGCTTGCACGACTTAAGACGATACGAAAGGCGCTGAGAAATTTAATCGACGTCGATAAAATAACACTTATTTATACCACGTTTGATAGTATTGCCGTTTTAAATACTCGAGTTGTAACATAAGCTGTTCCGTTACCGACATTTATATTTATGTTGAAGTCTTT